CAAATAGTTAAATAAATAAATAGGTTAATAGACAAAATTGATCGATACTTCAGTCTATCGTCAGTTTAGTCGGATTGGAGATAATAACTGAAATAATAATTTAGCTAAAGTGATCAAATACCCAATCCGGTAATGCCTCAGTAGGGGGGGGGGATTTGCAAGGGATTAGGGATTTGCAAGATTAACCTGGATTGAATAAGACTCAATATAGCAGAAGGTAGGATTATATCTCCGTGTGTTATATATATCTTGTCTGTCTGTCTGTCTGTCTCATCTCCTACCCCTCTCTCTCTCACTTCTCTCTCTTCCCCTCCACTCTCTTCCCCCCCTCTCCCTTCCTCCTACACTCCCCTTCCCCCTCCTTCCCGCCCCTTCCTCCTCCTTCCCTCCCTTCCCCTCCTTTCCTCCCTTCCTCCTTCTCTCCCTTCTCCTCCTTCCTCCCCTTCCCCTCCTTCCACTCTCTTCCCACCCCCATGCCATTAACAGATAGATAATCCTTTAAAATGAGTTCAGGTCCTGGGAGGAAGGTGAGGGGAGATGAGGGAGGGGGGGAGTGAGGGGAGGAGATGAGGGAGGAGGGAAAATGAGGGGGAGGGAGGTGAGGGGGAGATAGAGGGAGGGTAGGGGTAGTGGGGGGAGCATAATTATTGGTACGGTACATATTGACACTGTGTTAGGCTGTAAGAGTGCCGTGTGTGGCTGGTGCCGTGTGTGGCTGGTGGTGATGGTGAGGGCGCTTAGGTGTTGGTTGGTGTGGTGATGGTAGTGGTGATGATGAGGAGGTTCATGTTGGGTGTTGGTGACTGGTTATGGTAGTAGCAGTAGTAGTGGTTGGTATAGTAGTTGTAATAGTGGTAGTAGTCGTAATAGTAGCAGCAGTAGTGGTAGTAGTAGTAATAGTAATATAAACATACAAGTATCACCATATATCCATCTCTCAAGGGTACCTACGCCCCCCCCCCCATCAACCCCCTTAACCTCACCTACCTGTCTTCTACAACCTAATTAATTTATCCCACCTCAGTGACCTTATTTAACCACCTGCCAGCCATCTAAAACTACTACTTTTACTCTATAACTTCTCGCTCTTGATGATATAACTTTTGAAAAACTTTATATTCAAGAAAAATATCTCGAATGTAAACATGCTTTCGGGTTTAGCTCTCGCGATGCTGAAGGTCTCTCAGCGGACCAATAATAACGTACTCAGGTGAAGAGCTCCGTTATTGACTGGCTGAAGGAGTAAAGGCCGAGCAGTAATTGGGCGAGAGCTTGTGTTGAATCCCGCTTCGTTAGGTTCTTAACGAAGCTCCGTAAGTTAATGCCGCTACCGTTTATTCCACGATGAAATATGATGATGATGATGATGATGATGATGATGAAATTCGAATTCATTTTGATGTTGGTTTATTATATGTTGTGGTGTGTTGTGTGGTGTGTTGTGTTGTAATGTGTTATGTTGTGTTGTGTTGTGCTGGTCTGTGTGGTGTGTGTGTGTTGCTCCTAATGACAGTGTGGAAATTACGCAGTTTTTTTAATATCCATGAAATAGTTGAGAGAGAGAGAGAGAGAGAGAGAGAGAGAGAGAGAGAGAGAGAGAGAGAGAGAGAGAGAGAGGCGTCATTATATTGTGTTTATGAGTCTTGCGTCTGTACAGTAAAGGTGATGTTGTCAGGGACTCCCAGAGAGGATATCATATTTTATCACCTCAAATTCCATTCGTTAACATACTACACAATTACTAACATTAAGAACTGTAGTTTAGGTAATGTTGATTAATGTTTGATGTGCGGTGGCTGAGTGGATACACCTACCTCAAGTACGCAGGGTCGAGTTCATCCCCCTAGAGCCGAATACAGTGTCCCCTTTGTGTAGTAGAGGTGGTCTTAGTGTACAGTGGACCATATATATACTGTTTCTAATAAGATCATCAGTACTAAATAACTAATTTTCAATTTTTATAGTTAATTATTTTTTTTAATTCAGGTTTCAAAATGATGTAATAGCTTCGGATAGATTTGAGACGAATACAGCTACAGCAACATTGTGACTTACAACTTTACTAAAACATATATAGAGTTGAGGTCAAAAGCTCAGTCTTTTTCTGTTGGTTGAAACTGAGTCACGGGAATGAGTCTCTGAACCCTGACTCATGTGGTGTAGGTGTGTGACTTTACTGTATCATTTAGGGTCGATACTGCTTCACTTTGGGAGGGAGTGTACCAGATAATTTTTTTTGAGCAATTTATGGAAAGTATAAATAACAACACACATAAAATAAATGATTGTAATTGACGTTTAAATATTAGTAAATGATTTTTTTTTAATGTTGCTATGAAGATCTCGCTGTTTATTTACCAGTGTGTAGAGGAAGTTCTGGTAGGTCTGACATCAGTTGTTTTACTATCCAAGGGAAATTCTGTCCACTGATGCGAAGTTCCCACGATGCATACGATCTTCCCACACGGTCCAGTCGAAACTCCCACGGTACAGTTAAAAGCTCCCACGGTCCAAAAATAGTTCCCACGGTCGAAAATAGTTCCCACGGTCCAAAAATAGTTCCCACGGTCCAAAAAAGTTCCCACGGTCTAAAAATAGTTCCTACGGTCTAAAAATGATCCCACGGTCCAAAAATAGTTCCCACGGTTCAATAGTTCCCACGGTCCAAAAAAAGTTCCCACGGTCCAAAAAAAGTTCCCTGATCCAATTCCTACGGTCAAAAAAATAGTTCCCACAGTCCAAAAAGTTCTAATTCTAAAATGTAGTTTCACCTGGTCTAAAAGTTCCCCGGTCAAAACCGTTCCCCACGGTCCAAAAAGGTTCCCACTGTCTAAAAAGTTCCCACGGTGAAATAGTTCCCACTGTTCAAAATAGTTTCCACGATCAAAAAAAGTTCCCACGATCCAAATATGGTTCCCCTGGTCAAAAATTTCTCCCCGGTCCAAAAAAGTTCCACAGTCTAAAAAAGTTCCACGGTCCAAAATTAGCGGTTTCCTGCGGTCGAAAATAGTTCCCACAGTAAAAAGTTCCCACGGTCCAAAATTAGTTCCTACGGTCCGAAAATAGTCCCCACGGTCCAAAAATAGTTCCCACGGTCCAAAAAAGGTTCCCACTGTCTAAAAAAGTTCCCATGTCCAAAAATAGTTCCTACGGTCCGAAAATAGTTCCCACGGTCCGAAAATAGTTCCCACGGTCCAAAAATAGTTCCCACGGTGCTGTACAAGTTCCCACGGTTGCAGAGTGACTGTGAGGGAGGGAGGGAGGGAGGAGAACGAAGGAATGAGGGAGGAAATGAAAAATAGTGAGGGAGAGAGAGAGGAAAGAGGAATTAGGAAGGAAGAACATAGTGAGGTAGAGAATGAGGAAAGACGAAGAGAGTAATGAGGGAGGGAGGGAGAGAATGAGGGAGGGAATGAGTGAGAGAATGAGGGAGGGAATGAGTGAGGGAGTGAGTGGATGGATTCTCATTCACTGTATTAACTCCGGGACTCGGCTCTTGGTGCTTACCATTACCGTTATAATTAATTTCCGCCCCGGGGGAAGGGAAAGGCATTCGCATAAATCATCATAAAGCGTTCACCCCCCACTTCATAGCGTTCACCTCCCCACTTCATAGCATTCACTTCCCCACTTAATAGCGTTCACCTCCCCACTTCATAGCGTTCACCCTCCACTCTGTAGCGTGCACCCCCCACTTCAGCGTTCACCTCCCTACTATAGCTTTCACCCCCACTTCATAGCTTTCACCCCCACTTCCAGCTTTCACACCACCCATAGCGTTCACCCCCACTTCATAGCGTTCACCCACCACTATAGCGTCTCACCCACCCACTTCACAGCGTTCACCCCCACTTCATAGCGTTCACCCCCACTTCATAGCTAGCGTTCACCCCCCACTTCATAGCGAGCGTTCACCTCCCCTACTACATAGCGTTCACCTACTCCCAGCTTTCACCTCACCTCATAGCGTTCACCCCACTTCATAGCGTGCAACCCCACTTCATAAAGGTTCACCTCCCACTTCATAGCGCTGCTCACCCCCACTCATAGCATGCAACCCCACTTCATAGCGTTCACACTCCCCACTTCATAGCGTTCACCCCACTTCATAGCGTTCACCCCACTCATAAAGGCGTTCAATTCACTATAGCGTTCAATTCCCCACTCATAGCGCGTTCACCCCCCTTCATATATCAACTCTTCGTCCTCTTCCTGCAAAAAACAACCAAATAAAAAAAAATAAAAAATGAATAACAGATTAAAAACTAGAAAAAAACTAAAACAAATGAAAAAGAAAAAAACAGAAAAAATCGAAAAAGGTAAAAAAAGAAAAACAAAGAAACAAGAAAAACGAAAATCAACGAAAAACTATAATAAAGAAAAACAAAATAAAACGAAAAACTAAAAAAATGATAAAAAGGAATAAAAAAAAAAAAACCCAGAAAATCCCCCAAATTCTACATTAAAACTCTGCCGGTGACTGAGTGTGGAAAAGACTTAATACTGATTATATTATTTTTCCGAGTTAAATTATTTAGTGAATGCATTTTAAAATCATCAATCAATTCAGAATGTTTACCCAATGATTATTTTTATTCCCTTATCAAAAAGTGGATCTTATCAGTGTGTGTGGTGGCAGGGTAGCGGGTCAGTGGTTATGTTGAATGAATCCAGTTTATCACTCAGGTCATTCATGCTGGCCATGGGTACTTGATGCTCTTGTGTGTGTGTGTGTGTGTGTGTGTGTGTGTGTGTGTGTGTATGTGTGTGTGTGTGTGTGTGTGAACATGTTTGGTTCAGCTATGATGATTAAATTTTGGACAAAAATGAAGAGATAACGTAACCTAACCTAACTTAATTTATATTTAAATTTGGTTATGATAAAGTAGTGAAGGAATATATAAATAAACTTTGTTGCTTAATTAGGAAGAGTAAAACACCTGACTTGTATATATTACCTGTACGAATTTATTTGTTTATTTGTTTTGTTTCTTTTTCAGTGAGGATAAAACCTTGATGACCACAAAGAAGGTCGACCTTGATGACCCATTCAAGGAGGACCTTCATGGGGCTCTGACCACGACAGTAGAGAGTTATAGAGGCAGCGAAAGTGACGCTCAGACGACTCTTTCGACCTCAGGTTGGACCCCCAGAAAGAAAGTAATCCTTGAACCCCAGAGAAATAATGGTGATAACGATGGTGATGATGACAGCTCCACGAATAATGTACTTACGATGGAAGGGGGAGCAGGAGGAGGAAGGTTCTCGAGTAACAGCTCTCATGGGTTCAAGGCCGACATCAGCGACAGGCGAGGTCGTCAAGAGTATGGTACGTTGTGTGTGTGTGTGTGTGTGTGTGTGTGTGTGTGTGTGTGTGTGTGTGTGTGTGAGTGTGTGAGAGAGATCATAATCATCATCATCAAAACCCCTATTCCCCCAAAAGTCCTATGGCGACGGACGAGTGGCGACGTGGATAGGCAGAGATGACTGCCGGGAGTCACAACTCTGCACATGGGCGGCACAGATAAGATGGTCGTTTATGCACTGGGATCTAGGCAGCAGTGCAATCTGGTCCTGTCTCTGCGACTAAGCAGTCTTTTCGAGGAGCCACCCTGCTCACCCCACATGGGGAGGGGGCTAGAAAAGGTGCCTAAAGAACCAATCTGACTGGGCAACCACACCCAGTAAGGTCATCCTTATGCGGTCGAAACAACAATCATACCCACAGATCCAAACAAAAACAAACTATACAACCTCTTATGGTTGCTGCATGGAATGTCAGGACCCTTCTGGATATTGGCACAAATGAGCGTCCTGAAAGAAAAACTGCCCTTGTGGCAAAAGAGCTGGCTAGGTATAACATCGACATAGCAGCCATTAGTGAGTCCCGGCTCCCAGACGAGGGTCAACTCACAGAAAAGGGTTCTGGCTATACATTCTTATGGAAGGGTAAGCTTGCTGCAAAGAGAAACCGTATTTATGGAGTTGGCTTTGCCGTCCGCCAATGCATCCTACACAGGCTAACTGAAATGCCTGTTGGGACCAACGAGCACCTCATGACGCCCAGAGTCCCACTGAATCATTCACGTCATGCCTTTTTCATCAGTGCATACGCCCCAACACTGGATGCAGAGGATGACATTTGGCAGGGAATCATAAGGAGAAATCGACTAGGCAAGTGTAATTAATCCCCACGGCCAATTCCTCCTCAGGAAGTGTGCTGCACACAGCCTCACTATCACCAATACCTTTAGGCAGGCCGACAAGTTCAAGGGTTCGTGGCAACACTCACGATCCAAACACTGGCATCTCGTTGACTACATCATTGTCAGAGAAAGAGATCGCCGAGATGTCCTCATCACCCGAGCCATGCGTGGCTCAGACAAGCTCTCACTTCACTTCGCCCCAAAACAGCGAAGGCAACAAGCCTCCAGAAGAGGTTTTAACACTAAGCGTCTGGAGGATCCAGTGGTAGCACATGCTTTCAGAGAGCGGCTCAAACATGGGCTGATAAACAACCTGACAACAAACAACTTAAATCCCAATGCCGAATGGGGTATTCTCGACACTGTCATGAGAAAAACTTGCCAAGAGGCCCTCTGCCAGATCGAAAGAATACACCAGGACTGGTTTGATGAAAATGACCCAGCAATCAATGTACTCGTCGATGATAAACGAGCTGCTTTAACTACTTTGCCTAACAAAAACTCAGTCTCGGACCAAAGCTGATACATTCCGCAAGAAGAAAGCGGCGGCCCAGCTTGAACTTCGCAAACTAAAGAATGACTGGTTTAAAAGTGAGCATGTGAAATGCAAAAACTTGCAGATCAACACAAGATGTGCGAATTTTTAAATTCCACTGAAACATTTTATTGGCCAGTCACTCATGGTGCAGTCTGCCCCCCTTCTCATCCGATGGTAACTCCCTAATTAAAGATGAAGAAGGCATCCTTCAGTGCTGGAAAGAGCACTACCATTCGATGCTCAACCGAAACTCCGATGTGGATGTCCTGACTACCCAGCAGGTCCCTCAGTATCCAGAGCTGACCCAGCTCAGCTATCCCCCATCCCTGGATGAGGTAGCTACTGCCATCAAACAGAGGAAAATTACAAAGCCTCAGGGCCTGATGGAATTCAAGCTGAGGTGTATAAAGCAGGAGGAACTCTGCTTACCAGCCATCTCCTCTTTCTCCTGGAGATATAAGGGAAAAGGAGGAAATCCCCCAAGCTCTTAAAGACGCCTCCATCGTCAATATTTATAAGAACAAGGGAGACTGGTGAGACTGTGGTAACTACTGCGGGATCTCGCTGCTGTCCGTAGCTGGCAAGATTATCGCCCGAGTCCTCTTAAACAGGCTTCTGCTTGAGGCGGAAAGCTTCCTCGCATGACGTGGCACGACCGACATGATCTTTGCTTCCCGCCAGATACAGGGAAAGTGCAGAGAACAGCTTCGTGACCTTTACATGGCCTTCATCGACCTAACCAAGGCCTTCAACTCGGTCAACAAGGAAACCCTCTGGCAGACCCTCAGCCGTTTTGGCTGCCCACCAAAATTCATCGCCATTGTGAGGCGACTCCATACGATGGCATGAACGACAGTGTACTCCACAATGGCACCCAGAATGAGTTCTTACCCATCCAAACGGGGGTAAAAGAAGGATGTGTACTGGCACCAACCCTCTTTTTCCATTTGCGTCGCTGCCTTCCTTCCTCATGCCACTGTCAATTTAGCCAGCAGGGTGGACATTCAATACCAGATGAAGGGTCCTTTGAACACAGGCAGAAAGAAATGTGTTGGCAGTTTCCATTACTGAACTTCAGTATGCAGACGACCTCATCCTTGTCTCTCACACTGATTGCCACCTACAGGAGATCCTGAACACCTACACAGATGTGTATGCACACTTCGGCCTTGAGGTGAATGTATGTAAGACTCAGATTCTCTTTCAGCCTGCCCTTGGTTCAGCCACACCTCCATAATGTATCCAGCTTAACAGTACTACCCTCTCGAATGTTACCCACTTTCGGTATCTCGGCTCCCATCTGTCCACCACCGCAGACATGGATGAAGAGATTAAACATCGGATCAGATGTGCATCTCAAGCCTTTGGCAGACTCCGAAATCGTATCTTCAGCTGTAGGGAGCTGAAATTTTCTACAAAGATGCACATATATCGAGCAGTGGTCCTCCTTGCCCTGCTATTTGGCAGTGAGACATGGGTCACATACAGCAGACACCTCAAGGAACTTGAAAACTTTCACCAACGTAGTCTACGTTCCATCCTCCGAGTTCGTTGGGAAGACAAAAGAACAAATGGCAGTATTCTCGGTGACACCAACTGTAGGAGCATCGAGACTACCAGTATCCACGAACATCTAAGTTGGGTTAGCGATGTTACGCACATGGACGACAGTAGACTGCCAAAGCAGCTACTTTACAGTCACCTAATGAATAGTAAGTGTAACGCTGGCGGGCAACTGAAAAGGTAAAAGGACAAACTTGAAAAAGTATCAAATCGACCCCCTCACCTGGGAGACGATTACTCCACACCGTAACGCTTGGAGGAGCACCACACGAGAACGTGTCAAAACTTTCGAGTTTGCCCGACTATAAACCGAGGCAGACAAGCCGCCGCTCCTCCCGCACTAGATGTAGCCCTCCACATGTGCAACATGTGTGAACGATTCTGCCGGTCCCGTATCGGCCTCTCTTAGTCACCTCAGAGCTCACCAACGAAGGTGACATCTTTAATAACTCATATCATATCATAACTGGATGATCGTCATGCTCGATTCCTAGTGAGAGCAAAGTAGTAGTAGTAGTAGTAGTAGTGTGTGTGTGTGTGTGTCCCATACTCCCATATAGTGTGTCGTGGTAACTCTCCTCGTCCCTCTCCCACAGCGTGTCGGCTGCCAGTTGTGAAGAATGGGAAGATTACGTTGGAACCTTTCAAGTAAGTTTGGATTGTGTTTATATTATTGGCAGACAGACAGATAGATAGATAGATAGATAGATAGATAGATAGATAGATAGATAAACATTTACATTCTAGTTAGTGATGGTATGTTGTATTTACTGTAATTATTCGCTTGTTAACATTGACCTGTAATTTACCTTACCGCTTCCAGTCCTAGCAAGGTATGTTTATTATGTATGTTTGCGTTCGTTTGTTTTGATACTTTTATGACCGATTGTGTGTGTGTGTGTTTGTTTTAGTACTTTTCGACCGAATTTGTCTTCGTCACCCAGCCACCCATACAAAAAGCCGCTTACTCACTCACCCAACCCTTTCTTCCTGCCTTCCTTCCTTCCCCCAATTTCACCCCTTTCCCCTCCCCCATTTCTACCCCTTTGCTCTCCCTTAATTCCTCTTCCTCACTCATCCAATTCCTCCCTCCCTCCATAACCCACCCCCCTTTCTCTCTGCCTCCCCTAATTCCACCCCCTTCCCATTACCCCTCCCTCCCTTCACACAACAAACCTACTGCCTGATAAGCTATCGGAGAGAGAGTTATTTACATATGGAACCCGGATGAGGGCCCTGGACTCTTGCACCAGAAGTATTATCAGTTGGTGGGTTATTGTACCGCGTTGTGTGTGTGTGTGTGTGTGTGTGTTTTGGGCTGTGTGTATGTGTGTCCTTATTGTGTAGTTCGGGTTAATATGTTTGTTTGTTGTTGATTTTGTTTCTTCCTACTTTTCGTCCTCTTCCTCCTGTTCCTCCTCCTTTTCTTTCTACTCGTCCTCTTCCTCCTGTTCCTCCTCCTTTTCATCCTCCTCCTCCTCCTCCTCCTCCTTTTCCTCCTCCTCCCCCTCCTTCTCGTCTTAGGTAAATGGACCCATCGACTCTGCCCGACGTGTCATGAATAATTCGGTAGATTAAAAAAGTACTCTGAATATAAGCTCCTCCTCTGAACTGAATTCGGCGAGGTATCCAGGCCGTTGTAATATGAGTCAGTTTATTGTGTTTTAATATATTTATAATGCGTTCTGAGGATATATAATGCATTTTTGTTGTGTTTTTATATATTTAATGCGTTTTTCTTGAGTTTTTGTACTATTTAATACGTTTTTCTTGCGTTTTTGCACCAATAAAACGTTTTTCTTGCGGTTTTCTTGCGTTTTTTTGCGTTTTTGTTATATTTAATGCGTTTTTCTTGCGCTTTCTTGCGTTTTTGTACTATTTAATGCGTTTTTTGCGTTTTTGTACTATTTAATGCGTTTTGCTACGTTTTTATGTGTTCTGATACGTTTGCTATGCGTTGTAACAGTTGTTTGCGTTTTAACACGAAATATACTATAGTTTCTTGTTCTCACAACCCGGAATTAGTTTTAGGGGCTTCTGGATATCCCGGGTCATGTAATAGAGATATCGGTGGAACAACGGGTGAGTGAGCTAATCAGGGAGATGTGATCCAGCCGTTCTAACCTGATTACCTCCTAATCAAGGGTCTTCCTTCTGCTACTGCTGCGCTTACTACTACTGCGACTACTACCACGTCCTCCAGTGCGTCTCCCATTGTGCTGGTAGGCAACGCGCTCCAACACCTTCTCTTGTTACCCACGAGCCCTGAATTGCAGTGTTGACGGGGGTGATTTTTGCCATACTGAGAATCTATTTCTGTTTTAGAATCACAAAGCGCGTTTCTGACTCTTTCAATTTAAAGGGTTTTAAGGGGAATCAGGGCATTTTGGGGTTGGGTTGTTTTGTATTTAAGTGCCAATATCACTGCCTCCTGCACTGAGGCAGATAATGGGTTTGTTCCCACTACCAGACAAGATATTGGCCATCCTGTCAACTATGTCCCCCACCCCAGCTCCTGGCAAACACACCCTTATTCTTTTTCTATTTTTGGCACAAGGAACTCTATCCAGGTACCGTACCTGGGAATCACCAACAATTAAGGTTTTCGTACCTTCCTTATCAGCCTTGTCCCTGACTATGTCACCGTCCAGTTCGTCTACCAATGGGATAAAGAAGTTAGTACACTTAGTTGTATTCGTTTCCGTGTCTTTCTTCACCACCAGTTTGGTCGTTCCTCTCCTCACAACCTTCCATTGGCCTGTGTTTTCGTCAGACTCTCCTTGTCTCGTGTCTTCCTCCTTCATCCTCACAATCACTTCCTTTAATTTCAAGTTTTCGTCCTTGACCTTCACTACCTCGTCCCCCAGAAGGGCACACAGCTAACACTAGCCATTTCTCTGACTGTTGATCCCCGGAAGCTAAAATCGACCGTGACCTTTCCTCTACCGAGGTCAGAACTGATCCTCTGTGCCACAGAACCACAATGCCACAGAGATAAAGAGCCACTGAGCCACTAAATCACAGCCACAATGCCACAGACCCACAGTACCACAGACCCACAGTCCCACATGGCCACAGACCCACAGTCCCACAGACCCACAGTCCCACATGGCCACAGACCCACAGTCCCACATGGCCACAGACCCACAGTGCCACAGACCCACAGTCCCACATGTACAGACCCACAGTGCCACAGACCCCACAGTCCCACATGGCCACAGACCCACAGTGCCACAGACCCACAGTCCCCATGGCCACAGACCCACAGTACCACAGACCCCACAGTCCCACATAGCCACAGACCCACAGTGCCACAGACCCACAGTCCCATGGCCACAGACCCAGTCCCATGGCCACAGACCCACAGTGCCACAGACCCACAGTCCCACATGGCCACAGACCCACAGTGCCACAGACCCACAGTCCCACATGGCCCACAGACCCACAGTGCCACAGACCCACAGTCCCACATGGCCACAGACCCACAGTGCCACAGACCCACAGTCTCACATGGCCACAGACCCACAGTGCCACAGACCCACAGTCCCACATGGCCACAGACCCACAGTGCCACAGACCCACAGTCCCACATGGCCACAGACCCACAGTGCCACAGAACACAGACCCACAGTACCACAGACCCACAGTGCCACAGACCCACAGTCCCACATGGCCACAGACCCACAGTGCCACAGACCCACAGTGCCACAGAACACAGACCCACAGTACCACAGACCCACAGACCCACAGACCCACAGACCCACAGTACCACAGACCCACAGTACCACAGACCCACAGTACCACAGAGCAACAGGAGACAACCCTGATCCACTGATTGATTACACTATTGAGGCGGTGAAAAATACGAGTCGGGGCCGCTGTTTTCTCCTAAAAAATGGTGATGGATCGGTCGGTAAGTCTTTCATCTTTAGGCTCTATTTTTCGGGATATTTTTCTGCCTCTTTGAACACAGATAAGTGACGAGAGAAAAGTATATATATTTTTTTATTTATTATTGAAGCGGTGTTGTACTATGTTGGATACTGTGTCTTTTGTATTACTAGAGGAAATGTAACCTAACCTAACCTAACTTAACCTAAACCTAACCTAACCTAACCTAACTTAACCTAAACCTAACCTAACCTAACCTAACCTAACCTAACCTAACTTAACCTAAACCTAACCTAACCTAACCTAACCTAACCTAACCTAACCTAACCAAACCTAACCTAACCTAAACCTAAACCTAACCTAACCTAACCTAACCTAACCTAACCCCCCAAAAAAACAAGTTAGTTTCCGCTTCACTATGTTAGGGAGGGATATGTCAAAGCCATTTATGTTTCTGAATAATAAATTTAGTCGTTTGAAACATCCTAGATTATTGTTATTTTTGTTGTTTGTTTTGTTGTTTCTCTGGGATGTTGTTTTTTGTGTTGATAATAAGTTATATTTGTTTGTACTTGGGTTAAATTTAATGACTGGGGTCTATTAGTACTGGGGTCTATTAGGATTGGAGCTTATTAGTAATGGAGTCTATTAGTACCACACCCCATTAAAATCAGACCCCATCAGTACCAGACCCCATTAACACCAGACCCCATTATCACCAGACCCCATTATCACCAGACCCCATTATCACCAGGCCCCATTATCACCAGACCCCATTATCACCAGACCCCATTATCACCAGACCCCATTATCACCAGACCCCATTATCACCAGGCCCCATTAACACCAGGCCCCATTATCACCAGACCCCATTATCACCAGACCCCATTATCACCAGACCCCATTATTACCAGAACCTATTCGAATTAGATCCCCCATTTAACCCATTACTCCCCCATTACTCCTCCAGTCCCAGGGCAGGAGAGCTTCAGTGTGCTCCAGGTTACGTGACTGCAGTGAGATCTCCGAAGGTGTTGGTTCGGTGCCTCGTAGGTGTGTGGAAGGCGGTGGTGGGGAACCGTACGCTGGACCCCTTCTGTGTACCCGTCAGTGCAGGTGGGTGGTGGTGTGGTGGTGGTGAGAGAGAGATATAAGAAATCCGATTAATTATTGAATGTTAAAATAGAATAACAAGTATATTCAAGATTTTGTTTAAGTGAATGTTTCCTTTTTAATAATATTTGAGTTTTTTTTTTTTATTGATATATTTTTGTAATTTGTGATTGATTTTTTAAGAGACTTTGTTCTTTCGTATCAAAACAGGTTAGGATTTTTTTTTTTGGTAATTATTTCTTAATCTTGTGTTTCAATTTTGTTTTATTACATGTCCAATTTTTTTTTTTTTGCAATTATTTTGTTAATCTTGTTTTTCCAATTTCGTTTTATTGTCTGTCCAGTCCTTAATGATTATAATAATACCTTTTGTTATAATCTTTTTTGTTTTTTTTTGTTTTTAAGTTTGTTTTTCTAAACCTTTCACCCAATCCGTAGAGAAATGAATAGGTGATTGTAACAAAATTTTCCAATCCCTCTTCTCTATATATCACGTGTTTTCTAATCATCATTTTTAAAACTTTTCTTTGTGTGATAAATACTTTTAATCGTCTCTTCCAATCGTTGGGTTTATGATGGATCTTCTAATCTATGTTTCTAATCTTTCCTTTTATCACTGATGTTTTCCAATCCTTTCTCTCTATATCATCCATTATGATCAATACTTTCTAATCTTCACTTCAAAATACTTTTAAAACAAATACTTTTTGATCTTCTTTTCCAATCCTCTTTTATTATGACAATTAATTTCTAATCCCCTTTACTAATCCAACTTTTCCTAATCGTGTTCACAAGTACAGTATTTGATTATTCTTTTTTTCGAGGTCTTTCCAATTATTTTTCCAATCCCTTATTCATATGGTGGTTATATTCCAATCAGTTACTTTCCAATCAGTTACTTTCCAATCCTCTTCCCAGTCGAGACCTCAACAGTGAAGGAGTGTCAACTTGACCCGCCCACAGTGGAACACGGGGTCATTAAACTGTTCAAGTAAGTCTGTCTCTCTCTCTCTCTCTTTCTCGTTGCTTGACCTCTGTTGCAAGTGCCATTAATTATGTTGCAATTGGCACTCATTGTGTTGCAAGTATCAGTTTTATGTTGCAAGTGTTATTCGTTCTGTTGCAAGTGTTATTAATTAGGTTGCAAGTGTCAGTGTTAGGTTGCAAGTGCCGCTGTCATTGTGTTGCAAGTAGATGCTATTGGCTGTTGTTGTTGTTGTCAATTTCCTGGTGTTGTGAAATTCATATCTTTAATTGTAGTCGGTTTATCAATCATAATGTCACGGAGTTGAATAATAATCATATACAATATTAAATATTTTATACACTCACACCTCGATATAACGGACTTTCATCTCTATATAGTTCGTTAAATGAAGGTTTCACATTTAACAAACCCTCGACATAACGAACTTTCATCTCTATATAGTTCGTTAAATAAAGGTTGTACCATAGACTGACACTTGCCAAAGGTATTTCATTATTAATAAAAAAAATTATTAAAAATACACACATTTTATTCACTCTCTGTAAAACACCATTCCATAAAACTATTCACTGAAATATTTAAGTCACACGTTAAAACATTTTCTCTGTTATGGCCAATGGCTCGGATATGTTATGTATGTGTATGAATATGTATGAATATATCAGATCATATACTGGTTATATATAAAACAAGATGTATATTTCATGTATGGCTGTTTTATTATTTGTGAAATTGTGTTATAAATGTGTGTGTGTGTGTGTGTGTGTGTGTGTGTGTGTGTGTGTGTGTGTGTGTGTGTTTTCTTCATGTATTAACCAAGGAACATATTGTGTATAATTGTTCTGCCATGAATGAGAAAAATGAATAAAAAAAAAAAAAATGAAATACTTAGTTACACAGGTATGAAAAAATTGCCCCAAATTCTACTACAACAAACATTTAATTCCAAGGTTATCAGTAGAATTTAAAAGGACAATCTAAACTACAAAGAATTTAATACCACTACTAGCATTAAATCTCAAGGTTACAATTTGAAAAAGACTAACTACAAAGAATTTAATACCACTACTAGCATTAAGCTCTTATGTTTTTCTGTAGAATTTAATAATCCAATATAGTCTACAGATATATATAAAGAATTTAATACCATCATGAGAATTTGTTACTATTATTATTATTTGTTGAGGTTATTGTAGTGAAAACTCAATTTAGTGTAAGCGGGTCTTAAAGCATCGTTCTTATTGTCACCTTCAGAAACAACATTGTACAATTTCTATTTCAATACCGATTGTTGTGGGGATAGAATATTGTCATCCACTCTCTCTCTCTTTCTCTCCACACACACACAGGTATTCTGGGTCTTACAGGTATTAATTTTTTTTTCAGTATGTAAATTAGATTTGTTAATTATTTTTTATTTTTTTATTTTATTTTTTTGGTGTGATTGGAGAGTATAATTTAATCCCTTGAGTTCGATGATTTTACCCTTTGAATATGATGATTTAACCCCGTGAATATGATGATTTAACCCCTTGAGTTCGATGATTTTACCCTTTGAATATGATGATTTAACCCCTTGAGTATGATGATTTAACCCCTTGAGTATGATGATTTCACCCCTTGAGTACGATGATTTAACCCTTGAGTACGATGATTTAACCCTTGAGTATGATGATTTAACCCCTTAAGTATAATGATTTAACCCCTTAAGTATAATGATTTAACTCCTTGTAGTATGATGATTTAAATTCTTGAATATGATGATTTAACCCCTCGAGTATAATGATGACTTAACACCCCGGAGTACGATGATTTAACCCCTTGAGTACGATGATTTAACCCCTTAAATATAATGATTTAACCCCTTAAATATAATGATTTAACCCCTTGTAGTACGATGATTTAAATTCTTGAATATGATGATTTAACCCCTCGAGTATAATGATGTAACTACCGATAACAACCCAACTTCAACCCAATCACCTCTTTCTAATCACTAATCAAGCTAATCTCACCCTCGTTTAGTGGGACGGTAGGGAAACTGAACTGTCTCCCGAAGTACAAGCTGATGCACGGTGCACCTGAGGTCTTGTGTGTTGATGGACGCTGGGTGTTTACAGGTGACCCTCAGTGTTTAATTAAGGAAGGTGAGTTATACCTGTATGTTTTTTTTTATTATTATTAAGTCATTAATTCACCCTTAACACTACATACCTGTCTCTCACACTTACACTATACCCTCACACTATACCATCACACTTACACTACATCCTTCACACGTACACTTATACTGTAATAACATTAATAATAATAATAATAAGAGGAAATATGACATTGATTGTAGTATTAATTAAATATTAAAACAAATAAAATCCTAATATTACAATAATTACTTTTAGACTAATATTTCTCCAAGGTTACTAATGACAAAATATAATCCACACTCCAAAGTATATATATAAACTTTTCAGTATTATAATAATTCACCAAAACAAAACCCACAATTATAGGTCATTAAATAACTATGACAGATTATATCAATACATTAAATAATTTTACTCCATTAAATATTTTCTTCATCAAAAAACTATTATTACTTTTTGAATGAAGATAAAAATTTTAAAAGTATATTTCCACCTCCCGTTATTGTATACTTTTCACAGAGCCGGTACAGCTTCGGTATCCAGAGACAAGCGATTCGCCTTTGTGTACCGACCCGCCTCCAGAAATCGCACACGGGGTCACCAATTCCATCAAGTAGGTCAAGGGGGGAGGGGAGGGCGTGGGGGGTGAGTAAAGGTGATGTGGGGGGGTGTGTGGGAGAGAATGGTTGTAGGATTGATGTTTGTGTGTGTGAGAGAGAGAGAGATAGTGTAGATAAATAAGAGAGAGAGAGATAGAGAGAGATAGAGAGATAGAGACAGAGGACACTTAAATTCATCCAATCCCCTTCCTACCTCCTCGAAATAGTCTCTCTGGCTGAGAAATACACAAGTATCCTTTTTCTTTCCCATCTTCCCACTCTCCTCCTTTCCAATCCCCATTCTCACCTTCTTTCCTTCCTCCCCCCCTCCTCTTTTCCCCACCTTCTTTCCTTCCTCTACCCTCCCTCCTTCTTCTTTCCTTCCTCCCCCCCTCCTCCTTCCCACCTTCTTTCCTTCCTCCCCCCTCCTCCTTCTCCTCTTTCCTTCCTCCCCCCCTCCTCCTTCCCACCTTCTTTCCTTCCTCCCCCCTCCTCCTTCTCACCCTCTTTCCTTCCTTCTTCCCACCTCCCTTCCTCCCTCTTCCCTCTCACCAACCTCCATAAACCAAAGCTGCCCATCCTAGTGCACCACGGAGATAAAAGACTATTCTTAGCCTCCTTGCATCTGTATTGAAGAAGATGAAACAGCGGCAGCAACAGCATCAACAGGAGGCGGCCCCAAACACAGCAATCTTTGACACGGCGGCGACTAGGATTATAGAAAGGTGTTTTTACTCGTTTTCTTCTCTCGGCTCCCTCACGACGTCAAGTATGCATAATTCATCCTACTCGGTATTGTCCTCCGATATTGCACCGTCGCCTCCCTGATCAGTGAATCGCTCTAGGAGGAGGTCGTTCAGTGCAGGAAGTTACCGAGAGAGAGAGAGAGAGAGAGAGAGAGATAACACTGCTTGATGTCGTTTCTTCTTCTTCTTCTCTTAGTTCGTGAATGTGAAATTGATAAAGTTTGCTTCGGTGTATTTTTAGGTTTTTTTTATATTTTTGGAGGCTTAATACTTAAGCTGCTTATCTAGAATGAGGATAGTATATATATATGTGTGTGTGTGTGTGTGTGTGTGTGTGTGTGTGTGTGTGTGTGTGTGTGTGTGTGTGTGTGTGTGTGTGTGTGTGTGTGTGCGCGTGTGCGTGCTTGTGTGTGTGTATGTTGTGTATGTATGTATGTATGTATGTATGTATGTATGTATGTATGTATGTATGTATGTATGTATGTATGTATGTATGTATGTATGTATGTATGTATGTATGTATGTATGTATCCTCATAGTCCACAAACACCGGCATCAAATTAATCCAACAAATTATCATTTACCACAAACCAACTTATATCAGCACTCACCTGTATATTAATTAACCTGTGGCATAATAATTAGCTGTAGCAACCCTCGAAAATGTCAAGAATCAATAGAGGCTAGAAATAATATATAAACTCATTAATAACTCAATTAGCCGCCAGGTGGACAGGCTCTTTACTATCCAGGTGTGGAACTAATGGGTCGAAATTGGCCCTTTACAGGTAAATAATTAAGTATTTAGTGGTGGCCTGTATGTTTAAAATGAAGTCTCTCTCTTTTGTAATAATGGAGAGAGAGAGAGAGAGAGAGAGAGGCTGTACTCGTCTCCAAACACAGTAATTTTTTCTTCTTCTTGTACTCTTTCTTCCTCTTCTCCTCCTTTTACTCCTCTTCCTCCTTCTTATCCTTTTACTCCTTTTCTTACTCCTCTTCCTCTTACTCCTCTTCCCCCTCCTCCTTCCTCCTTCCTCCTCCTCCTTCTTCTCCTTCTTCTTCTTCTTCAATGTCATTCCCTTACCTAATCTAAAGTTCACTAGATGTTCGCCTTTGTAAACGGTGTTGTATCGTCTGTCTGAACACCCGAAAAGAAAGTTACTCTGATGGTCAATACTTTCTTTCTACCGAGGGTTTTACTTTCTAACTCAATCCACTTTCTCTTGTTTTCTCTCTTTCTTGTTTTTTTCTCTCTCTTTCATTCTTTCGTTTTGTCTTTATTTTCTCTCTTTATCTGTTTGTATTCTGTTTCTCTTTTAATTTATATCTATTTTTTCTTCTTTTGTTTACTTTCTGTCTGTCTGTCTGTCTGTCTGTCTGTCTGTCTGTCTGTCTGTCCTCCTTGTCTTAGCTCAGTGGTCATAATGGGCCCCAGTCATAATGGGCCCCAGTCATAATGGGCCCCAGTCCTAATAGGATGGGCCCCATAATGGGCCCCAGTCATAATGGGCCCCAGTCAATAGTCATAATGGGCCCCAGTCATAATGGGCCCCAGTCATAATGGGCCCCAGTCCTAATAGGCCCCAGTTTTAAAAGGCATTAATATCATTGGTTAAGTAAATTTTGATGAGGTCAGGTCAGGTCAGGTTAAGTCAAGTTAGGTTAGGTTAGTTTAAGTTTGCATGGGTCAGGTCAAGTTCGGTTATATTAGGTTAGGTTATGTTTGGATAGGTCAGGTCAAGTTCGGTTATATTAGGTTAGGTTTGGATAGGTCAGGTCAAGTTCGTTTATATTAGGTTAGGTTATGTTTGGATGGGCAGATCAAGTTCGGTTATATTAGGTTAGGTTATGTTTGGATAGGTCAGGTCAAGTTCGTTTATATTAGGTTAGGTTATGTTTGGATAGGTCAGGTCAGGATTCGTTTATATTAGGTTAGGTTATGTTTGGATAGGTCAGGTCAAGTTCGTTTATATTAGGTTAGGTTATGTTTGGATAGGTCAGGTCAGTTCGGTTATATTAGGTTAGGTTGTTAACACAAGAACTAATTCCTTAACCATGAAATAGTTAAAAACAAACAAATTATTTATCTCTCCCTGTAATGGTCAAATCTCTCAACAATTCCATTATCGGTAAGGGTCAGAGGTCGTCAGGGTCAGAGGTCGTCAGGTCAGAGGTCGTCAGGGTACAAGTGTTCCTCCTCCAACCATCTCTTCTCGTTTTCTATATCCGTCAAGGCCTGTGTTTATTGTTATATCTCTCTCTCTCTCTCTCTCTCTCTCTCTCTCTCTCTCTCTCTCTCTCTCTCTCTCTCTCTCTCTCTCATTTTCTTCCTCCTCCCCTTCCATATCTCAGCTTCCCTTCCACCATCACAACCAACCTCCTCCCTTCCATCTCATCCCTCGCTCCATTCCCATTCCCCCCCTCTTCCCCCCCTCCCGTAACGTGAGAGGCAGGCAAGAGGTCATAGAAGTTGGTGGAGAGTTGCAACAGTCTCGCCGTGTTCGTATTGATATTACAAAAGTTATCCCTTTATTTTTACTCCAAGAATTCTGCCTGTGTCTATTGCTGTGTGCTGCCTCCTCCTCTTCCTCTTAATCCTCTTTCATTCCGTCTCTCTATTCATCTCTTTATTTATTTATTTATTTACCTTGCCCCTCATTTCCCCTCCCTCACTCTCCTCCCTCCCCTCCCTCCCTCACCCTCCCTCCTCACTCTCCCTCTCCCTTCCCTCCCTCACCCTCCCTCACTATTATCTCTTCCTCCTACAGCGCCACCTTCGGGTACATCCGCTGTCTTACAGGTTACAGGTCATCAATAGACAAAAGCATAGAGTTTACGTGTGTGGTGGGCGTGTGGATGTTCGTGGACGTGCCGCCAGGGGTGGACGCGGAGTGTATATCTACTGACATGGAACCCTGTGAGAACGCTACCCGGCCCTCCCTTACCAACGGCATAGTAGAGCTGACGTAAGGTTGTTCTTCTTCTTACTAACCTAACCTAACCTTAACCTTAAGCTAACCTAACTTAACCTTAACCTAACTTAACCTAACTTAACCTTAACCTTAACTTAACCTAAACCTAACTTAACCTTAACCTAACCTTAACCTTAACCTTAACCTAACCTTAACCTAACTTAACCTTAACCTTAACCTTAACCTAACCTTAACCTTAACCTAACCTTAACCTAACCTAACCTTAACCTAACCTAACCTAACCTTAACCTAACTTAACCTTAACCTTAACCTAACCTTAACCTAACTTAACTTAACCAAACTTAACCTTAACCCATTAACCAATATCATCTTTGACATTATTTGTTTTAGTAATTAAGTGATCATTATTTATTGGTTTATATATTTTTGTGTAATATATTTTGCCTTTCTTGTTGAGATTAAAATATTTATCATAATTTAGTTTCTTATTTAAGGATAAAACTTTGAACTGACACATAAAAAAATAAGTACATACAGACGCTCAAAAAACTATCTGTACTTGGGGTGATCGATGGCATTTCAGAGTGAACACTGTGACTCCTGTTGTCTCGGTAGGTTGTCAAAATCCTTCGTCCGCTGTGTCATATTTTCTCAACACAAATTTGAAAAGGCAATTTTTTAAGTGACAGTACATACATACATACATACTGTACATACATACATACAGTACATACATACATACAGTACATACATACATACTGTACATACATACATACAGTACATACATACATACAGTACATACATACATACCAAGCGACAGGGGTGAAAGGAGTTTAATGGAAGGACAACAGGTGGATGGCAATAATTAGCTGGGGTAGAGAGACAGTTACCTTGGCTTCACACAACATACCTGATTGTTATAGGCTTGTGATAGCTGAGTCCCAAACAACACGACGAACGCAACGAGGCCCACGCAGCCTCAGCCCGAGTCCAGCACCCAGTTTGGCCTCGTCAAACAAAAAAGAAAAGAGAAGTACGAGGTTAGTAGTAGAGTTGTTTAGTAACAGGTGACGGTACACGGTGGAGCTAGTTGGGAAGGAAGAGTTTTTGAATCTCTGATCTTAAAAACAAAATCTCAAGAGTATTTGTAGCATGGGAGCATGAGGGTATATCTAAGAGTTTTTTGTTTTTGTGTTTTAAGAAGAATGTGTGTGGTAGTGCTCTGATTTGACTATCGATAAACGCACCTTGGATAAAACCGAACTGGCTGCGTTGCTGTGCCGTTAGAGTTTGGGTGTAGTGGTGAGAGTCGAGTTTAATATGTTATGACTTTACTGTCTTGATATAAGCACAGTGTGATCAGAAAGTCCTTGTGCACCTATTCACTTTATCGGTAGAATAAGATACATAATTATATTGTTAATTACTTACAGGTACACAAGGATTTATTGATTCTCCTTGTTGAGGTTTCAGACCTGTTAAAGGTGCTCATTTACTTGATCATATGTGTACTCATACCTGTATATTTACCTTTCAGAGGTGTGACGGCCAGGTGTTTGCTTGGCTACAGGTTCCCGTCAGGACAGAAAAGGGTTGGTTTCGAATGTGAGAACAAAGTATGGGTCCTCCCTCTGTCGGAGCGTCGGGGCTGCTTGCCTTACTGCCCTTACAAATGTCTCAATGGCGGCTACTGCATCGCTCCTGACATTTGTAAGTGCCCAGGAAGATTCATAGGCGACAGGTGTGAAAAAGAGGGACCTTTGACGACAAGTCCTGTTACGGTGATGGAGTTGACCACAGAAACCCAATCTCCTTCAATCACAACACCTCTCCCGGTGATGGAATTGTCCACAACGATCGAGGGCCCTCCTGTGGTAGATATTTCGCAGACAGTTCTTCCAACAGCAACGGAAAACCCCACAGAAAACCAAACTTCTTCTGTGACTTTATTCAACACACAGACAGGCAATACCCTCACCACCAAGTCTGTTGGGGACTCTACATCAACAGAACGTCCCCAACTCACAGGAAATCTCACCACCAAGTCTGTTGGGGACTCTACATCAACAGAACGTCCTCAACTCACAGGAAATCTCACCACCAAGTCTGTTGGGGACTCTACATCAACAGAACGTCCTCAACTCACAGGAAATCTCACCACCAAGTCTGTTGGGGACTCTACATCAACAGAACGTCCCCAACTCACAGGTAATCTCACCACCAAGTCTGTTGGGGACTCTACATCAACAGAACGTCCCCAACTCAAGGGAGGCTTTGCGGAAATCTTGCCTGAGGACTCTACCCCAACGGAACGTCCCCAGTTCACAGAAAGCTCTATAGTGAATGATGGCGGCTCCCACACAGGAGGTCCCACAGAAAGAACCACGCAGCTTGAAACTGTTACAGCAACGGGAGGTTCTAAAACAGTAACAGGAGGTTCTAGTACAGCAACAGAAGTTTCAAGTATAGTAACAGGAGGTTCTAGTACAACAACAGAAGTTTCTTCTACGGCAATGGGAGCTTCAGGTATATTAAGAGAAGGGACTACTGCAGCAACAGAAGGTCCAAGTACAGCAACGGAAGTTTCGAGTACAACAACAGGAGGTTTTAATACAGCAATGGCAGTCTCAAGGATAGCAGCAGAAGGTTCACTTACAACAACAGAAGGTTCAAGCACAGCAACTGCCGGCGGTACCTCTAGGTCAGCCACTATGAGGATGAAGACCTACACCACCTTGTCTCCTGTTCCGTGCGGTGATCCTCTACCAGTTGTCAACAATGGCAGTGTGGTGGCCCAGTGAGTGTATTTTTGTGGTTTGGTGAGGTTACGTTATAGATTGGGTTCGGTTTAATTGAGTTAGGATAGGTTGGGTTAGATAATGATTGGTTAGAATAGGTTAGGTTAAATTAAGTGAAGTCATATTCCAATGTCCCCATCACTTAACCAAACCAATACACAAATACACAATAAATAATAATACACAAATATACTCATACAGTAACTCACGTCTTACCCATTGCATGACCTTCACAGCCCCAGTGGCATGGAGGCTCTGGCAAAGTGTAAACCTGGTCGAGTCTTCCCCTCCGGTTCGAATTCGGCGATTGTGACATGTGAGGCTGGTTCCTGGGTCCTGCCCCTTCAGGAGATGGGAGGAGAGGCTATTTGTCTCCCCAAGGGCTTCTGTGGTCAGCCTTGTCAACACGGAGGGGCATGTCGCTCTGATGGCAGGTGTTGGTGCCCCGAGGGGTTCTCCGGCCCCAGGTGTGAGGTGATGGAGTGTGTGGCGCCGCCCAGAGTGTATAACGCTGCCCTCGTGATCAGGTAATGTGACCCTTGACTTGGAGTATGTGATCCTTGACTTGGAGTATGTGATCCTTGACTTGGAGTATGTGATCCTTGACTTGGAGTATGTGATCCTTGACTTGTAGTATGTGATCCTTGACTGGGAGTATGTGATCCTTGGCTTAGGGAATGTGGACATAGACCTACTACACATGGACATCGAATTACGAATGTTGTTCCTAACGTAAAGTACTACATACAGTGTCTTCAACAATCAATACAATACAATAACTCTCTCTACTGCTTTCAATGTTCGCCATCCACCCACCAACCCACCCACCCACCCACCCACCCACTCACTAACCATTCCAGCCCATGTGTGAGGGTCGTATATCGGGCACTTTATCGGACTGCCCTCTCTGTGTTGCTAGGACTCGGCTTTCAACATTACTGCCGCGATATTTACCGACACACCTGTAAATATAGACAGGTTAAAATATATATCCTCAGACTGACTTTATTGTTGGATGGACCCAGAGAGAGAGACTTTGAATACTAGCACCACAGTCTCTTTTTTTTGTCTCATTGTTTCTCTTTGCTTTCTCTTTCTATCGACGACTCTCTGTTTTCACATTTCTCTCTTTATCTTTCCTCTCTCTCTCTCTCTCTGTCAATTACTTTCTTTCGATTTCTCTCTCTCATTTTCACTTTCTTAACTTCTCTCTCTCTTTCTACTCTACCCTGTCTCTATCTACATCTATCTATCCTAGTCACTCTCTCACTTTCTTCCCCCCCCTCTCTCTCTCTCTCTCTCTCTTAAATCTATCTCACACTGACCCTCTCACCCCCACCAGGAAGAACCATGCCAGAGCTGAGTGTCGCGACGGCTACACCTTCAAGAATGGGATGACCTCTCTCAACTTCACCTGTGTGGCAGGTTCGTGGCTCTTACCTGGCCTTGATGCCGCCGCTAGCGCCAAGGAACAGGTGTGTGAGGCTCTCTGTTCCCCGCCCTGTGTCCACGGAGGCAGGTGTGTAGTGCCAGGGGTGTGTCGATGCCCGGAGGAGTTTGCCGGGGATACCTGTCAAGTGGTCAGGTGTTTCGATCCAGCGCCTTATGTCGGGAACGCCGTCATGAGATACGAGTGAGTGGTGACCTTTAGAGAGAGAGAGAGGCATACATACATACATACATACATACATACATACATACATACATACATACAGAGAGAGAGAGAGAGAGAGAGAGAGAGAGAGAGTTTCCATGTACAAATCTTTATTTGTTTTAATATACTTGACCTCTAGATCTATTTCACACTAATAACTTTAACCCTGCTCCCCCTCTCCTCACACCTATCGATCTCCTTCACGCCTGTCGACCTCCCCCAACCATCACACCTGTCGACCTCCCCCACCCTCACACCTGTCGACCTCCCCCCTTCCTCTCACCTGTCTGATCTCCTTCACGCCTGTCGACCTCCCCCAACCATCACACCTGTCGACCTACCCCACCCTCACACCTGTCGACCTCCCCCCTTCCTCTCACCTGTCGACCTCCCCCAGCCCCATTACCACCCAAGCTGTGTGTCTCCAAGGCTACCTGCTGGGGAAGGACTGTGCTACCCTCAACATTACCTGTGTCAATGGCCAATGGGTGCCTGATACTGCTGGCCTCAACCTCAACGATAACAAGCTAGAGTGCCACCCCGTATGTCAAGAGGAGTGCCAGAACGGAGGTACTTGCGTGGCACCCAACACCTGTGCGTGTCCTGCGTCTTACGATGGTCCACTGTGTAGGCAGGCAAGAGGGAACGATTGTGTGTCGCCGCCTCCAACCATCACGAACGCACATTTAAATTATAGGTGAGTGAGTAGTGTTGATTGTAGTGCTGTAAATCATTGTCCATTTTATCCCGACTTATCCATTTTGTCCTGATTTATACATATTTGTCCTAACTTATCCATTCTTTTCAGATTGTTCTATTTTGACCGATCTTATCCATTTTGTCCAACTTATCCATTTTTGACCAACATCCATTTTGTCCAGAATTATCCATTTTGTCTGACTTCTCCATAATGTCATTGGTCTGCCACTCACAGCTCCACAGTTGGGTTGGCTGAGTGTACTGCTGGCTTCGCTCTGAGCTCGGGTGAGACTCGGATTAAGTTTGTATGTAACTACGGCCAGTGGACCTTCCCGAACAGCCTTAACCACCACCCTGAGTGCCGCCCCTTGTGTGTTGGAGGGTGCCAGAACGGCGGTGTATGTATCGGTGCCAACCAGTGCCACTGTATTAATTCATATACAGGGCCATTGTGTGAGAAGCTTCCACCACCAACCTGTCTCGGCCCTCCCTTGCCGATACCCAACTCTGTCATACATATAAGGTAAGTGTACTCCCCATTAGGTAATCTCGTCCCCATTAGGTAAGCTCCTCCCCATTAGGTAAGCTCCTCCCCAAAGCTCCTCACCAAAGCTCCTCCCCATTAGGTAAGCTCCTCCCCAAAGCTCCTCACCAAAGCTCCTCCCCAAAGCTCCTCCCCAAAGCTCCTCACCAAAGCTCCTCCCCAAAGCTCCTCACCAAAGCTCCTCCCCCATTAGGTAAGATCCTCTCCTCACTTGCCTCACTAAACACCTCCATTTATTACTAATTCATTCCGGTGTATTAACGCAAGTGACTGAATAATGATGATGTGTGTTTAATAGAGAAGTAATTGTGTGCAGTAGATGTTTATTTGTGTATCATCTAGTGAGTTGAGTTAGTTGAGTTAGTTGAGTTTTGTAGTTTGTTGTAAATTAAAGTAAAATATGATATTGTAAATTTTGGTGTTGTGTATTTAGAGTTATTTTTAATCCAGTAGTGTACAAGGAGAGTGTTGGATTGTTTTGTTTCCAGGTTACAGGAGAAAACAAATGCCATCTTGTTTACTTAATAAAGTTTGTTGCATCACCGCTACAGCCCTCGTGGTCTGGTGGTGGCGTGCCGGGCTGGCTTTACCTTACCTTCGGGTGCCAGCCAGGTGGAGCTGTGGTGCCTAGAGGGTGCCTGGTGTCCGCCTAACACTCCCCATGACGTCTGCATCCAACCCAGCCAGAGATTAGCCTGCTTCCCTCAGTGTGACCCGCCCTGTCTCAACCACGGGGAGTGTGTCACGCCCAACAAGTGCCGCTGTCAGGAGCCCTATACCGGCGAGCGCTGTCAACTCCTCCGGCCGGAATTTTGCTGGAAAGAACCGCCTACCTTCCCCAACGCTTTCATCAAATACAAGTGAGTGTGGGAGTTCTGGGTGTCGCTGGGGAGGGGATGAGAGAGGTGGGGGTGAGGGTTTGTTGCTGGGGAGGTGATGGGAAGATAGAGGAAGGACTGGAAGCTGGGTAGGGGATGAAGGAAGGGGGAGAGGATATGGACGTGCATATATAGGGAGAAGACTTGTATTTACGTATAATATATGTTGCTGCCTCTGAAACGGTGATGATCTTACAGTTCATCAAGAGCTTCAGTGACGTGTAAGTCAGGGTACTCACTGGGGGCGAAGACCTCTGATCTGTTGCTGGAGTGTGTGTCTGGGGAGTGGATGGTGCCTGCAGGTCTGGGGGAGGAGCCACTGTGTGTCCCCAGCTGTGTGCCCCCCTGTGGTAATGGAGGCACCTGTAACGGCCCCAACACCTGTGCCTGTCCCGCCGGCTTCCATGGCCCTCGCTGTAAGGCCCTCCTTTGTACAGCACCACCGTCCACTGTACCCTTCTCTCATATGCAAATTAGGTATGGCTGTATTACTCTTTTACCATGTTGGTATACACAACCTTGGATGCATATGTATATTTCTGTATTCCTTATATTTTTTATAATTATATGACGAAACAGTTACATCTAACACACAGAATTCCCTTATGTGTATCCTCGAAGTATTACATCTGGGGTTAAGTACCAAATTCACAGCCTAAAAAAAATATGTCTTATGATCTCTCCTTCTCCTGACGGTGACAGTCCTGGGGGCAACGAGGCGATTGTGTTATGCTTCGATAGATATGTTATGTTTTCCGGGAGGCGTCTGGTGAAGGTGGAGTGTGTGGAGGGCACTTGGAAGACGGTGGGCACACCATCCATGGCTGCTGATTCCCTGCGGTGCTCCCCCTACTGCGTCAAGCCCTGTGTCAACGGCGGTACTTGTGTCGCCCCGGATCTGTGTGCCTGTACAGACCAATACGTGGGCCCCTTCTGTCAGTTCCTCAGGTGTCGAGGAGCCCCCGATGTCGTGGGCCAGGTGAACATCAGCGTCAGGTGGGTGTTTTTGTTAGCTGGTCAGGTTAAGAATTACCAGGTATGGATTAACCCTTTGAGGACAATGGTTTAACTCTTCGAGGACAATGGTTTAACCCTTTGATCACAATAGTTTAAAATTTTGAGGAAAATGACTTAGCCCTTTGAGGACGATGGTTTAGCCCTTTGAGGACGATGGTTTTACCCTTTCAGGACGATGTCACAAAACACAGTTGTTTAAAAAATGTCAGAGTTTAAAGATTCATAAACCTAATATAAACACTTAATTACTATTACAGTACTATTATTATTATTACAGTGAGGACTGTCTCTCGGCTGAGGCCACCTGCTTTAACCACCACCGTCTGGAGACTGGCAACACCAGCATGACCTTCACCTGTCGCCACGGGTTATGGGAGCCTTTAGGCACCACCAAGATCAGAGGTCAGCTTGGGTGCCGACCAGAGTGCCCCCATGGCTGCCTCAACGGTGGTGTCTGTGTGGCACCCAGTACCTGCCGGTGTCTGGAGGGCTTCACTGGCCCTCACTGTAACAAGAGTAAGTCATTGGCACTTAGTTTCTCTATTATTTCTCTCTCTTTTTGTCTATTATTATCTATCTTTCTCTCTTTGTGTGCACCATTATCTCTCTCTATATGTATGTATGTATGTATGTATTGTTACGGAAACTGAGCAACTAAGAAAGCAAAATATCTTAAATTCCTTTACTTTAACTTTTACTTTTATTTTAATCTCAAAATTTTAAATAATTTCCTTACCTGTGTGTGTCTTGGGACTTTTTGGTTGGAATTATTTAGTTATAATACCTTGTAATACTCATGCCCAATTATGTAACAAATGACACTCTTTTTGTATTGTGAGCTTTTATAGTTATGTATTACTGTAGGTTTGGTTTTATATAATATTCTTAAAACAAAGTCAACACATAACACATATACAAGTGTGAACAATAATGTATTCAGCTGTACTAATAGTCGTTATAAATAGCTGGGCAGTAGAGTCCGCGGTGCACAGGCAGTGTAGGTAACAGTCGCTCAACTCCACGACGAAGTAGACAGGGAGAACAAGTAGCCGAGGTGGTGGGAGTAGGACTGACTTTGACTGCCAGGGTTAGAGTAGACATCACCTGTCACAGATGGCGCCCCCAACAGCCGGCGATGGTTTTCCACTAAACAGGAGCCATCTCATGACTCGTGTTCTTACTTGTTGACTGCTGGTTAACTAGTGGTTTGGGTAGTGTGAAGTAAGCTGGGCAGATAAAGGTGACAATGCAGTGTATATACATGGGACTGTGGCCCTTTTATGTTACAGTGTGTGTCTGTATGTATGGTGACCTGTGATGTAATGGTCGGCATGCTCTCCTCGCAAGCGAGTGGACCCGGGTTCGATCCACGGGCAAGATGAAACTATGGGCAAGTTTCTTTACGCCATTTGCCTCTGTCAACCCAGCAGTAATTTGGGACCTGGATGTTAATCGATTTGTGGATCGTGTTCCGGGGTAATGGTTAGCCAGTGCAGTTGGCGAGTTGTCCGGTCTTCTCGGACTATTCCTTGACAATGGGTCATGCAGCTCGTTAACTCAGGGTGTGGTTGTTGTGTTGGTGACAGCTTCTACACCTTAAACAAATTCTCGCCTAGATGGTCCTTAGCGCCGGCCATCCTCGTTACACGAGTAGCTATTATATTATTATTATTATTATTATTATTATTATTATTATTATTATTATTATTATTATTATTATTATTATTATTATTATTATTATTATTATGTATATCTATCTATCGATCTATCGATCTATCTATCTATCTATCTATATATCTATAATCTCACACAGGATACAGCCTGACCACCAAGAATCAGCCTTGTCACTTCCCTTTCTCTTACGCCGAGCGTTGGCACTTCGCTTGCACTGGCACTCATAGCTCCCGGCCCTGGTGTGCCATTCAGCTAGACGCCCAAGGCACTATTACCGGCTGGGGTGTCTGTGTGGCTGACCTAGGTGAGTGCCATGCTGAATTATAAGTCTTTAAGTGACTTTAGTTGAAATTTTTGAAGGTGCAGTCACTCAAAAGAAAGTTATCTATACTAAATTGTGTTGAGAAAATATGACACAGCGGACGAAGGATTTTGACAACCCTACCGAGACAACAGGAGTCACAGTGTTCACTCTGAAGTTCATTGACCACCCAGAGTACAGATAGTTTTTTGAGTGTCTGTACCTTACCTCTTCTTCACTTTATATTATTAAGTTACTTGCAAGTCACTTTTAAGTAATGTTTCTGTGATCCTACATTAGATTTTCATTAGCTTTGAAGAAAATTATAAATATCATAGCTATTTTATTTCAAGTTACTTATAAATTACTGATCATTATGAGTCATTCTCAATTAAGGTTTTATTTCGTCTTAAAATTTCTTTTAGGTCAAATTTTTAGGTCACTTTAAGAATGGTGATTTATCCATTTTTGGACGATGGCTTAAGACTTTATGGACAATTGTTAAACTCTTGGAGATCAATGATTTAACTCTTAATTTTTGGGGGGAATTATGGGTTTAAATCAATATCTCTCTCTCTCTCTCTCTCTCTCTTTCTCTCTCCTTCCATAACATTCCTCCTCCTCCTCCTCCTCTACAATCCTCCATACTACGTCTCCCATATCCTCCATTCTACAGGAGAGAAGAAGGTGGTGGTAACAGAGGGTGGTGAGGTGTGTACTCTGCCCTTCACCTACGGCGGGATCACTAGGTGGAGTTGTATTACCTCACCAGGTCGTTCACGCCCTTGGTGCGCCGTGAGGGTGGACTCAGCCGGACTCTTGAGCTCTTGGGACCACTGTAACTTGAACTGGGGTGAGTCTCTGGCTGCAAGGTTGGTTCGATTATGGTTGATTTGGTTGTGTTTGGTTATATTAAAGTTGGTTAGGTTAGGTTGGGTTCGGTTGGGTTGGGATGGGATAGGTTTGGTTGGGTTACGGTCCGTTGGGTTGGGTTTGGTTGGGTTACGGTCCGTTGGGTTAGGTTAGGTTAAATTAGTTGGGTTTAACTGATGATATATCACTCCTACATAAACATCAGTTAATATTTTCCATTATATAGATTGGATGATCTGAAGAATTTTCTCGTCTGCTTATTTCACTTAACCTAACCTAACTTAACCTTACCTAACCTATACCAAAGACATATATGATGTCACAATTATATGTAGAAAATATGGTATAGGTATAAAAATTTTTGTTTATTTATTCTGCTAATAAGATACATAACAGTTGTAAATTATAATGTATATGACAGTACTTGTAAGCGTGTCACTGAATGTATCTCAACAAGCAGAATCAGTTAACAGTTGTCTTTATATACTGTAGTACATGTTATTGTCACAATAAATTCATAATAAACAATATCTATAAAAGGAATAAAAACATTATTCAATAATTTTGTAAATTTTATTTATTATTTTATGAACATGTCAGCTGGCCAGGGGGAGGATTGACCGGCCAGGGGTGGATTAGCCGGTCAGGGGTGGAGTAGCTGGCCAGGGGGAGGATTAGCTGGCCAGGGGGAGGATCAGTTTGCGATTGGTAGGAACTCATTCATGACGCGTACAACTTCTGTCAGCGGTACGCGGTGGAGAGGATCTTCACAGGTGGTCATTTGAACAACCATGTCAAGGAGTTCAAGTATTAGTCCGTTATCAGTGATATAGTCCCTGACGTCCCGCACCAGCTGTCCAAAAGAGTAAGTGTCGGACGCAGCAGAAGTGACGCCACCAGAGGCGAATTCCGGTGCAATCCAATATCTTGATTTTTTACCGCGGTTTATATACTTGTCGTGGTCTGTTGCTTTTCCAAAGTCGATTATATGGACGGTAGAATCTTTTTCTTCGACGGTAATTGTTATATTATTTTTTTTAAAATCATTATGAAATATATTTTTCTGGTGAATCTCACATAAGGCTTCCGCGATTTTAACCAGTGTGTGAACCTTTTGTCTTGTGGTGGCATAATTGATGTACTTATCATAAGTTATACCGGTGTAGTCCATGATGACGGACGAATCTTCTTGACACACTGCGTGTATACGGGGGGCACCACCGGCACCGTCAAGCTTCCTTTGAATCTTCACTTCTTTAATGAATGTCGCATAATTTACTCTTTTCATTTTTTTTAAAACCTTAAGGTCCTTATTATACATTATGAGGTCAACTATCCCGAAACTCCCTGCCCCAAGTCGCCTTATAATTGGCATTGTTTGCACCTCCGTAAGAGACAGCAAAATGTAATCGGGTGAGTTGGAATGGGGAGAGCAATGAGAGGGGTGGGAAAATGAGGGGGAGTGGATGAGTGAGAGAGGGAATGGGGAGATGAGGGGGGTGTGGGTAGATGAGGGAAGAGGTGTTGATGGAGTACAGTGGGGTAGAGTTGTGTTGCTCGTTGACATGCGAGACAGAGCGGTGCGAGTGGAAGTAGTGAGAGGAAGGAAGGGGTGTGGGGTGAGGGTGGGTGAGTGACGAGGTGTGGGGAAAGAAGTGTGGGGGGGAATTGAGATGCTCTTAGACACAAGAAAGGGGGTGGTGAGAGAAACGAGGGGGGGAGTAGTGAGAGTAGGTGTAGGGAGTGGAGTGGGTTGAGGAGAGTGGGGAGTGGAGTCGGTAAGTGGTTTTTTGCAGCACAGGAGCCGCTTCATTTTACGCCACCCGGACACCACTGTTTTCGTTATTTTGTTCATCGTGCAACACCAACACATACTAGCACTTCCTGTACACTGACAGTAGTCGTTTGTCATCAATGGGCAGAGAATTATTGTAGTAAGAGGTAACAGGACATTGTCTTTATAGTATAGTTGATGTAGTGTAAGATGATAGTGAAGACTGTAGATGATGTAGTGAAGATGATAGTGAAGGTGATGTAGTGAAGATGATAGTGAAGGTGATGTAGTGTAAGATGATAGTGAAGGTGATGTAGTGTAAGATGATAGTGAAGGTGATGTAGTGAAGATGATAGTGAAGACTGTAGATGATGTAGTGAAGATGATAGTGAAGGTGATGTAGTGAAGATGATAGTGTAGACTCTACACTATCATCTTCACTACATCACCTTTTCTATATTTAATTTCTTTTTATTCTTATTGTTTCGTCCACCAGGCCACGTTGTGGGTCGATGACCTGTGCCCGGGTGGTTATTCCCCTTAAAAAAAAAAAAAAAAAAATATTCATAAATTTTCTTGAAATTTTTACGGTTTCATTCCCATAGTTTTCTGTACATTCTGACTGATAATTATCGCTATATGGTGAATCATATTTTCATTAATGTATTAAGAAAAAAGTATAAAAAAATTTCAAAATTGGACCCATATTCCAATGATATTTAGTCAGTATCTACATTGAACTATGGGCTGCGATTTTTTGTGATTTTAAATTTATTGGTCTTTCTATTATATTAATGGTATCGGATTTTTTTAATGAATTGAGTAAATATTTCTCGTCTATGCAACATACATAATATATGCTCTTGATGCCACATATAGCGATGACACTTGGTGAACACAATGTCTTAAAATGTCACAGTTTAGGGTAAAAAAAAATCAGATTCAGAGCTTTATTTTGACTGTACCTTCTTGAATAACATAGTGGGTCCCGTTCTCAAACTGTCTTGCCCAACCATGACTTACACACACACCCATAAAACATAGCAATTAATCATTACTCCACTTCTTCCTCCTCCTTCTCCTCACCTCTTCTTCATCTTCCTCACCTCTTCATCCTCCTCTTCACCTTTTCTTTCTCCTCAACGCCTCTACTACCTCCTCTTCATCCCCTGCTCCTCCTCTTTCGTCGTCTTCCACCTCCAGGAGTACAGGAGGTATCACTGACCGTGGGGTGGGAACAGTGCCACCTGCCAGTGAGTCCCGCGGGTCAAGTCCACCAACAGAGTGGGAGCGAGCCAGAAACTTCAAGACCCTCCTGCCCAACCTCTCTCACCTCCTTCATCGCCTCCCCTAGTGTCTCCTTCTGCATGGTGGATTGGGGTCAGTACCAAATACCTTATCTACCTGTCTCTTGGTTTTTTTGTAATTATTCAGGTAGAAACTTTCCTTTGATTTTAATTTTAAGACATTGGAAATTAAATCATGTTCCTGATATATATACAGTATATATATTTCTATTAACAGTAGGAAAACTACATCTTTAAAGTTAACATTTTTGTAATTGACGTTTTAACATTGGAATAATCTTATAGAAATGAAATAAAGAAACATTATATATTTCCAGGCATAAAGAGAGACCCAAAAAACAGTATTTTTGTAATATTAAATACACAAAAATATATATGCTTACTGTCACTGTGTCTGTCTGTCTGTCTGTCTGTTAATCACATTGATCAGTTAATAATTTAATCGTATTTATTGACGGAAATAATATCACAAGAAGACTAGACTCAAGACCTGAGAGAGAGAGAGAGAGAGAGAGAGAGAGAGAGAGAGAGAGAGAGAGAGAGAGACCTTTCTGCTGATGAGGGGGAAGGAAATTGAATTTAGACGGTCAGCCCATTCGGAATTGTATAAAAAAGAAGTAAAAAAAACAGCCTGGAATCGCCTGTGAAAAAAAAAACCCACACACACACCAAAAAAAATTATATTGTTAAAGTACAGACAAAAATCGTCATGTAAAAAAAAAATAGCGTCCAAAAATATAATTTCTGATTTTTTTTACGAGAGAGAGAGAGAGAGAGAGAGAGAGAGAGAGAGCAGGTTAAAGTTGACTATAACAGATATTAAATTTACAGAGTCAGTGAAAACAAATAAACCACAAACACAAATATATATTTTTGCCTCATTCCTCATCCCCCATTAACAAAAAACCATTAATCTCCACCAACACAAACACATTAGTAAGTAGAATCCGTCCTAAAGACAGGGCCTGCCTGAGGTAAAACCCGAATTTTAACTCCAACGCGACAAAATCCCAAAGCACAGGTACAGAAGTCTATTTTCACTTGGTTTAGATTTCTTTATTTATTTTTTTTGGGGAGATGAAAAGAGAGAGGAAAGGAAAAAGGAAAGATTACAAGGAAAAGAAGAGAGAAAGAAAAGAGATGAAAGAGGGAGGTGGGGGGGAGGGAAGATTGCAAGAAAAGGATTTTAAAGGAAAGGTAGAGGGAAGGAGGGAAGGAGAGAGAGGTAGGGAGGGAGGGAGGGAGGGAGAGGGAGAGAGAGGGAGGGAGAAAAAGGTTTAAACATCCATTTTTGGGTTAAATCTCGAAGACTATTCCAAGTATCACCTCCACATGGGTGACTGAAGTATTTCTGACGATTTTTTAACAAGACGAGTTCAAGGGTGAGGTGAGGGTGTTTTGTTTAGGTGCAGTAAGGGAGTGTTGGGTCAGGGAGATGAAAGGGAGGTAAGGGTCGGGGGAAGAAGGGAGGGTGGAGGAGAATAATAGAGATGGTGGTGATAATTGTGGGAGAATGTAAATAATGATAATAATGATAATAATAATAATAATAATAATAATAATAATAATAATAATAATAATAATAATACCATAAGTTTTTTCTTAATTACGGTTTTCGAAATATTGAATATAACCCTCTAAGGCTTTATAACTATTCACCAATAACATAACCCTGATAAATTTATTACATGTGTAAATAAAGAAAACTATATGAATCGTGTTGAAAATTCCATTAGTTTTATGGAATCCAGACCAGGCCATATTAATTATTACCTGCATTCTCGTCAATTATGCTCGGAAATTGATGAACATATTTGGCTATTCATGAAATTGTTTGTGGGGGTAGGTGAGGGGTGAGAGGGTAGGTGAGGGGGTAGGTGAGGGGTGAGAGAGGGGTAGGTGAGGGGTGAGAGGGTAGATAAGGGGTAGGTGAGGGTGTGTACAGTTGTGGACTCGAGCTTCCTTGAACACTTTGGTGTAGAGTGAGGGGCGATATGATCGAGGTGTATAAATGGAAGTCAGGGCTAAACAAAGGCGATATAACAAAGGTACTCAAACTATCCAACCAGGAGCGAACTCGTAACAATGGTTTTAAATTAGACAAATTTAGATTTAGGCGCGAGATAGGTAAACACTGGTTTGGAAATAGAGTAGTGGATGAATGGAACAAGTTACCAAACATCATCATTAACTCGAATACGCTGGATAGCTTCAAACTTAGGTTAATGGATATATGAGCGATAGGGGTTGGGTGTAAATGGGACTGCCCAGTATGGACCAATAGACCCGCTGCAGTTTCCTCCATTCTTACGTTCTTAAAACATCTCCTTGTGAGTTACATAGTCTGTGATTAAGGACTACTGTTAAGACGTTCCCTGATACTGGCCAAAGAAAAGTGTCCGGGAATTATCGTCAACAACTGTTTACAACAAGAGAATTTTGTCCCTGGTTATAGTCATAATTTCAATGAGCATTTAGTCCAGCAAAGACGGGATAATCTTGTCCACAAATTTTATAAAGTTAATGGAATTTTGTCCACAACTGGCTATGATAATGTAATTTTATAATAACTGTTTATCATATATATCAATAAGAGAGAGAGAGAGAGAGAGAGAGAGAGAGAGAGAGAGAGAGAGAGAGAGAGAGAGAGAGAGAGAGTCCATTCATTCCGATCCCCGCAAAAAAAAAGGAGATTTATTTTTATTTCTCTCTTGTTGTCGGATAGGGAGGTGAGAGAAAAGGAGGGAGGGAGAGAAGCCGATTATTTCATTTTTACTTCTCTATTTCATCCACATTTCCTTTCTCCTTTTCAAGACTTATAGAAGAATTAAGTAACATTGGTATTATTGTGTGTGTGTGTGTGTGTGTGTGTGTGTGTGTGTGTGTGTGTGTGTGTGTTATGGTTTGTGTGGGATGATAATGAAGACAATGTGTATGAGTATGTATGTATGTATGTATGTATGTATGTATGTATGTATGTATGTATGTAATAGATTGGAGCTAACGTAACCTAACTTAACCTCATTCTCACCTATCCCTACCCCACCTCACTTCACTTCACCTATCCCTACCTCACCTCACCTCACTTCACTTCACCTATCCCTACCTCACCTCACCTCACCTCACCTCACTTCACAATATTACAGGTGATGATTGTCGTCTCCTTGGGCCTCATCTCTGTATCATGGTAGTGGTTACCCTTTAACATTCGCACCTCTCTCTCTCTCGTCCACTACCATGTTGATCATGTATCCGTAACACGTTTGTTTATCTACCAGGGTGTAACTGATCTAATTATGAGGGAACTGTGTGTAGATATTACTTTTAGAAGGATTATTTACATATTATCGCACTATAATTTATTGATATTACAACTATGACATTTAATTGGTTATTACCCCCTTAACTATTAACTATTTGATATAAACACCAAATATTCCCCCCTTAAGATATTCCAAGTTCATCTTTATATAAATTTTCTCCCCAAAATACACAAAGTTCTAGGTTAATATCACTGATGGAATACTTATTGAGTATTATTGAAGGACTTTGGGCTCTGAGTTCTGTAGGAGCATCGAGGCTACAATTATCCATGAACAACTATGTTGGACTGGCCATGTTCCCCGCATGGACGACAGTAGGCTGTCAAAGCAGCTACTTTACAGTCACTTAATGAATAGTAAACGTAACGCTGGCGGGCAACTGAAAAGCTATAATGATAATCTTAGGACAAACCTGATAAAGTGCCAAATCGACCCCCTCACCTGGGAGACGATCACTCCACCCCGTACGCTTGGAGGAGCACCACACGAGAAGGTGTCAATACTTTCGGGGTTAGCCCAACTGCATACCGAGGCAGATAAGCGCCAGCGCCGGAAAAACGCTGCCGCCACCCCTCCCGCACTAGATGTAGCCCTCCACACGTGCAACATATATGGACACCCTGCTGGTTCTGTACCGGCCTCTCTAGTCACTGCAGAACTTACCAATGAAAGTGACATCTTAAATTATTTATATCATTTTATCATTGCTGGATGACCGTCATATTCTATCTCGACCGACTTAAGTAGCTAAACACTTTAAATTTAAACACTGAGAGAAAAAGTGTTTACGGCCATGATCTTGATTTTAACCACTTTGTTCAAATTTTCAATACATGTACTACTGAACAACTGATTAAAGATCTGTTATCCGCAGTTTGATATCTGTATATTCACTCGTCCAAATGACATCTACAGTAAATAATTTTAGTTACTTATTCAACCCTAATTACTGCCCACTTATGTTTCTCAAGGTCACTTTTTTGGTGTTTATTTGTTACTCTTGATGTACGTAAGTAGTTAGTGTAGTGATCTTGGGAGGTAAAACTTCCCTAGGGTAGAGTAGACACAGTTAGACAGAAACAGAGATAGTCACAGGAACAGATAGACTAAAAGAGACAGACAGACAGATGCAGAAACAGACATACAAAACAGTGACAGACGCAGAAACAGACAGACAGATACAGAAACAGACACAGAAAGACAGACACAGAAACAAACGTACACAAATTCAGATACTCACACAGAAACGGACAGATACACACACACAGAAACAGACAGACAGACAGACAAACAGACAGACATACCATTCTATTAAATCCCATTACACACCCAGGCTACAGTCGTGTGGTCGCTACGAAGACCAAACAGGCGTGTGTGTTCCCGTTCATGTGGGAAGGATACCTGCACTACAGCTGTGTGGGGAAGAGGTCACAACAGCAGCGTCAGGAGGATAGCAGCTCGGGATGGGACCTGTGGTGTGCTGTGAAGATCCGTCCTGATGGGGAGGTGCTGGACTGGGATGTGTGTGTTGCTTATAATGGTGAGTGGTGGTGGTGGCGTTTCTTGTAAACAACGTATCAACAACAAAAACAAATAAAATAATCAACAACCATTTAAAACACAATCAAAGAAAATTAAGGAAAATTATAAACAACAACAACTACAAAAAAAAACTAAACAAATAAAATAATAAACATTTAAAAAAATCTGAAAATGAAAATCAATAAAAAATAAAAACTAACAAAAACACTTAACAAGAACACTAATAGAAACAGTGTGAACAAAAACACTAATAATCAGGTCTGTTTTTTCATTACACAGATAAATTGTTTCACTTGAGTTTAAACAAACGTCACTCAGAGTCTCGTAATTACTGCTGACTTGAGAATTGTAATTAATTTCTCTTATAGTTTAATTGCATTTTTTAACTCCTGTGGACAAAGTAATTCCATTTGGATAAATACAATTATCATAAATATACGTTTTATTCGTGTGTGTTGATGCATTCTGAAGTAGCCAATCACTGGCAGAGTATGTAACGTCATTGATTCTCAAGTAGCCAATCACTGGTAGAGTATGTAACGTCATTGATTCTCAAGTAGCCAATCACTGGTAGAGTATGTAACGTCATTGATTCTCAAGTAGCCAATCACTGGTAGAGTATGTAACGTCATTGATTCTCAAGTAGCCAATCACTGGTAGAGTATGTAACGTCATTGATTCTCAAGTAGCCAATCACTGGTAGAGTATGTAACGTCATTGATACTCAAGTAGCCAATCACTGGTAGAGTATGTAACGTCATTGATTCTCAAGTAGCCAATCACTGGTAGAGTATGTAACGTCATTGATTCTCAAGTAGCCAATCACTGGTAGAGTATGTAACGTCATTGATTCTTTAGTAGCCAATCAGGGGTATGTGATGTCATTGATTATGCATAGTAGCCAAGTAGTCAATGAATGGCTATGTGATGGCATTTCTTATATATACACTGTATATTAGCCATTCATGGGTTGGGTTTGTGACGTCACTGGTCATCTAAGTAGCTAGTCATACAGTAGGGTGTCCATATGACGTCACCGGCCATCACGTAGCCAATCGTAGATTGTGTTTGTGACGTCACTAGTCTTCTAAAGTAAAGTGAAAGCCGACACATAGAAAGTGAAATTTGGAGTGAAAGTAGACAAAGAAAGCTAAAAAAAATTACGAGTGGAAATAGGAGACAGCAAATTACAGTGAAAACAGAGAAATTAAATATTAAATCGAAAGTACATATGTAGAAAGTAGAGTTACAGTACTTTTGCCTTTCTTTACAGAAACAATTCCGGAGTCTCACTCCAGCAGCCCAGCAGAGATTTCCCCGTTGCTTACCTGTGAGTCTGTCAGTTGTGCCTTCATTAAGACATCCGTGTGTGTGGGGGGGTGGGGGGGTATCTGTGTGTGGGTGTGCTGGTTAGGTTAGGTTAGGTTCGGTTATTGTCATTTTAAAGGTTGATTGTCAATAGCAGTTCAGTTCATCCTGTAACAAAAAATTACACCCATTGCTAGTCCTTCCCTCACCCCTCTCCGTAACCCTCACCCTCTCCTCACCCTGTCCTCTCCCTCTCCCTCCTCACCCCCACTCCCCCCAAAAAGAGGGTTGAAAATTGCCAATAGAATTACTGTCTCACTGACGACAAAATTCAGGAACAAAAGTGAAAGGAAAATAAGGTTAGTTACGGTTCAGGTGCACTCTAAGAAGTGAAAGTAGGTGGTATGACTTTCACCACAGGTAGAGTCTGAGAGAAAAATAAAGTGAAAGTACATGAGCTTGAGAATACAGATACTTAATATAGATATTCTTTCAGAGTATTACATATATTCTCAAGATTATTTCAGAAGGTTTGAAAACTGTGTAATTGAACTGTCAAGAACATACCTTTTTTCCCAATACCTGAACCTACATATACAGAGGAGGGAGGAGGAGGGGGAGAAGGAGGAGGAAAAGCAGGAGGAGGAAAAGCAGGAGGAGGAGGAGGAGGAAGAAGAGGAGAAGAGAAGAGGGGGGGGAAAGAGGGAGAGGAGGAGAAGAAGAAATTACACTTATTTTCAATGTAATTTTACGAGTTCCAGTGGAAATCGAAGGGACATTGTTATTTCCACTGTACAGGGTGTCTCAAAATTTTTTTACACGCACTACCCTACAGATTTTCGTGAAGATTGCGTGAAGGATAATATATTACAACAGCTATATTGTCCTCATTGGTGGCAGAACCTCACACATCAACAAGTGAGGAAATTTTTTGCTGTTGTAATACAATGTCCTTCACGCGATCTTCACGAAAATCTGTAGGGTAGTGTATGTACATTTTTTTTGAGACACCCTGTAGGATCAGTGATGTTATATCTGTTGTATGTATCCAATCCAATCCATCCTAACCCACTCCAACCCACCCCAACCCACCCCAACCCACCCCACCCCAACCCACCCCACCCTCAATCCATTCCCAACTCAACCCGTATCTAATAATTATAATCTCTCTCGTTATCTCTCAACAAGTCCACCCGGTACATGTCTTCACGGTACAAGGCAAGAAGTGTTCATTGCCCTTTCACTACCGGGGTCGTAAGCATGTTGGGTGCACGATGGAGGATTCTGAACAGCCGTGGTGCGCTACCTCTGTTGACGACCAGCGTGCTGTGACTACCAGAGACTACTGCTATACTAACTGGGGTAGGTGTTAAAGAGAGGGGGGGGTGAGAGGGGTGGGGGTGAGAGGGAGGGGATAGAGGGTTGGTGAAGGGGGAGAATGTGAGGAAAGGTGAGGAGGGAGAGAATTAGAGGGAGAATGAGGGGAGAGAAGAAGAGGTCAGGATAAGACGGTGAAAGTTAGGTTAAGTTAAGGCTTTTCCTCCCGTACATAAGTTAAGGCTTTTCCTCCCGTACATAAGTTTAGGCTTTTCCTCCCGTACATAAGTTAAGGCTTTTCCTCCCGTACATAAGTTAAGGTTTTTCCTCCCGTACATAAGTTAAGGCTTTTCCTCCCGTACATAAGTTAAGGCTTTTCCTCCCGTACATAAGTTAAGGCTTTTCCTCCCGTACATAAGAAATCAATGTAAAGAGATATGCACTTGACCAACCTCACTACCCCAACTGTAACGTCAGGTACCTATTCAAAGCTGGGTGGACTCGGGGTAGATAGGAGGGTACTATCCACTCAGCCACTGCAACCACAGTGTAACCCCAGAACTTCATCAACTAACCAATACAGTGTTACGTGTCTCCCAAAACTACATTGTAACCGCTACTAAATTGATACCTTGCTGTTGCTTGACCACTACAAAACTATTACACACACACACACACACACACACACACACACAGATACACACACATATTCCATTTTTCCATTCTGACATGATATTCGGTCTACACAACGCACGAGAGGTCACCAGCCGTATAGTCAATCTCTTTTTTTCATCTCTGTTTTATTTTAGCACTTTCCCTACCGCTTGTTTCGTGTGTGTGTGTGTGTCTGTGTGTGTGTGTGTGTGTGTGTGTTTCAGAAGTGGTACAGTTAGAGTTGACTGGCTGTGAGGTCTTCCTGATAAATTGTTCTCAGTATTTCAACGTTTTAACTTTTTCCATCCATGTTAAAGCTTCCTGTCTGATTCTTATTTCCTCCCAGTCGATGTTTGTGTAGTGTGTTTTTTTTTTATGTTTTTTCTTTGTTTGGTGTGTCGGTCTCTCTGTGTGTGTTTATGTACAGTAGTTACACGTTTGTTTGTTTGTTTGTCTGTGTATTATCTGTTTACATACGTGTTTTACCTGGGTTGATTGTGTGTCTGCGTCTGTGTTTTTCTTTTTGTCTGTCTGTCTGTCTGTCTGTCTGTCTGTCTGTCTGTCTGTCTGTCTCTGTCAAAATCACTCTCTTTCTGACTTTCTCTGACTTTCTTTCTCTCTCTAAGTTTCTCTCGCTCTCGCTGACTACCTCTCCATTGACACACACACACACACACACACACTCACTGGTCATTTGTCAGCTCTGGTGTGTACACGGGCAGGGGAGTCAGACAGGTCAGTTTGTCACGGTGGAATGTGTTACCCTCACCCACCCCTCACTCCATCTAACCACTCAATCCACCTCACCTCTCACTCCACCTCACCTCTCACTCCTCACCTCTCCTCCACCTCCCCTCACCCACCTCACCTCTCACTCACTCCACCTCACTAACCTCACATACACCCTCACCCCATCGACCCCCTCACTCACCTTTCACCAACCCACACTCATCTGTGACCCACCTTACTCATCCACTACCCTCACACTCGCCCCCCACACCCTCCACACTCCCCCACCCCCTCACAATCGCCCTCCTCCCCACTCCCCCATTACTCCCCTTACAAACCCATAATCTCCCCTCACCCATTAACCACGCTTACTGAAACAGTTAGTGTTTCCAGTCCATTTGTCTGCCAGTCATCCACTCAAACTGGCAGTTAGTTTAGCTGGTCATTCTGCGGCAGCAAGATAATTGTTTTGTTTTTTTAGTCAGTTTACCTAACCTAACCAAACCAGTCCTGACCTAACCTAACCTATACAAACCTATACAAGGATAGGACTCGGAGCAACGGATTCAAGTTGGATAAGTTTAGGTTTAGGAGGGAGATAGGAAGAAACTGGTTCACAAATAGGGTGGTGGACGAGTGGAACAAGCTTAGCAACTTTGTAGTAAGTGCGGGAACTCGGGAAAGTTTCAAAAGGAGGCTAGATAGATTCATGGATGATAGAGAGTGTTAGTAACTCTCGACAGGAGCTGCCATGCGCAGGCCAACCGGCCTATTGCAGACTCCTTATTTTCTTATGTTCTTATGTTCTTAATAACACTAACAACAATAACAACATTAACAATAATAATAACAAAAACAACAACAATAATAATAAAAACAATAACAACAACAATAACAACAACACGAACAACAATAATAACAACAATAATAACAACAATAACAACAACACGACCAATAATAACAGTCCCTCATAGTAAGTGTAATACGGGTGGATAAGTCCCTAGAGTTTTCTTTGTTTTCTTAAATATTTCTCAATGTCATTAGGAATAAGATGAAATCCTTATGACTTCTGAAATATAATGGATCCTGGTTCTAATGGGCAGGTCTGTATGTATGGGCTAATGGGGTCACCTATTAGAGGTATGGGGGAGCTTCTATGGGTGTATAATTGTTTTATTGGAATATAAACCTTTTTTATTTTTTTCAGATATATTGGATAAGCCTTTGAATAAGATGCCCAGTGGTCCTAATCCTGAAGCTCCAGGTGAGTGGTGGATAAACTGACTGACTGACTGACTGACTGAATCACTCACTCACTCACTCACTCACTCACTCACTCACATGTTACGTCAGATCTGGTTAGGTTTAGGTTAGACTCGTATCAATAGATGAGAAAAAAATAGCTCCTCTCCTCATCCCCCCCCCCTCTTCTCCCTCCCTTCCTACCCCTCATCCTTCCTACCTCTCTTCCTTCCTACCTCTTCTCTCCCTCACCCCTCTCCTCTCCCCCTCTCCGCCACCCCCCTCGTGTCAGCAACGGCAGGAACAAATGTGAAAATTATAGTTCATTCATCTCCCATAAGCGGCTGCAACAGTACTGATTGATAGTGACGTGTAGTGGGGGGGGGGTCAGTGGGAGGGGGTGAGGGTCAATAAGGGGGGAGGGAGAGTCAGGGTGAAGAGGGGATGGTTAGGGGTGAGGAGGGGAGTCAGGTGAGAAGGGGAGTCAGGTTGAGGTGGGAATGGTCAGTGTGAGGGGGAGAGGGTCGAGGAGGAGGGGGGTCAGGGGGGAGAGGGAGGAGGAGGTTCAGGAGGAGAGGGAGGAGGAGGTTCAGGGGGAGAGGGAGGAGGAGGTTCAGGGGGAGAGGGAGGAGGGAGGGTCATGGGGAGGAGGAGGAGGAGGAGAGTCAGGCCAATATCCCACGACAAATGATCACAGGAGACAAATTATTACAGCGATTAACAGGTAACTCTCAGTGTCCAGGTGAAGCCTTAGGTTAATTTACAAGTTTGTGATGAATGATTGTGCTGGCTGAGGGTATTAGTCGTTTGTGATGTGGAATTATTGTGATAAGTTGTTCTGAATTGTATTGATTGTTATGTAAAAATATCCCCCATTTATTCCAATATATGTAAATGGATTAAAATTTATTTCCTTCGTGTACAAATATGACTACTTAATTCCAACTGCCATTACAAAGAAAAACTATTAAATCCAAGTTAAATAAATTCACCTCCTGTAACCAGTTCATGTAAAAATATGTATATATATATATTAATTCCACGTTAAAGAAATTCATCTCTTCCAGTTTACGTAAAAAAGATTCAACCCATTAATTCCGGTTTATGTAAAAAATATTAGAAGCTGAGTCATTACAGGAGTGAGTGCAGCAGCCTGGGGGGCCGGGGGATGAGTACAGCTGCAGATGCTGGGATAATATTATGTTTCAGATATTTAAATACATGTGTGTGTGAGAGAGAGAGAGAGAGAGAGAGAGAGAGAGAGAGAGAGAGAGAGAGAGAGAGAGGTGGATTTGAATGGAAAAACTAATAGATGGATGGATAGATGGATGGATTATAGTTTTATCTATATATCCGTCCACTTTAGCTTACCTTACCTATATATTATCTATCTATCTCTGTCTGTCTGTCTGTCTGTCTGTCTAATCTGTCTATCTATCTCACTATCACAGCCACCAGTAGCCATGCCGTGATAGTGACAGTGTCGGGAGCGCCTTGTGTCCTACCGTTCACCTTCAAGGACGACCTCTACCACGGCTGCATCATGATTGAGTCTCAGTGGCCCTTCTGCGCCATCGAGGTTGACCGCACCGGCAAGCCACTCCGCACTGACTACTGTCCCGAGGATTGGGGTGAGTGAGGTCAAGGTATAACTCAACTGGGGGTGAGATGTCAAGTTATGGGGTGAGAGGTCAGGTTGTGAGGGTGAGAGGTCATGTTATTGGGGTGAGAGTTCAGGTTATTGGGGTGAGAGGTCAGGTTATTGGGTCGAGAGGTCAGGTTATTGGGGTGAGAGGTCAGGTTATTGGGGTGAGAGGTCAGGTTATGGGCGTGAGAGGCCAGGTTATTGGGTCGAGAGGTCAGGTTAGAGGGGTGAGAGGTCAAGTTTGAACTGTTTACATATAATTCTAATTACATATATCTGAATTTTCCTTTTATAATTTCTATGTAATATTTTTACTAATTAATTAATATCATAAAACACTAATTTATTGTTATTATTATTTTTTATTATATTTATTTCAGATGCCTCGGCCGTCCTAACACCTGTAGACCCAACCACCCTAACACCTGGACGTCAAAATGGTAATTAAAGGTTGGACAGGTGTGAAGGGGGATGGGGGGATATCTCTTACATGTATGGTAATTAAGAGTGAATATTACTTGAGCAAATCGATGGTTGAATGTGATGATGATGATGATGATTAGTACCACAATTACTACCACCATCATCACCACCATCACCGCCATCACCACCACCCCCATCACCACCACAGTCACCATCACAAAAGATCAGAGAATGAAAAACATCTCCCTCTCCACCACCCAGCAAGTTCTTCAGCCACATTCCTCCACGCTTTTCCATGACCCCAAGTAAGCCGTTCTCAGCCGTTCTCAGTCTTTCTCAGCGAAGAACAATACAAACAAACCTGAAGAACTAATCCTCAAAGCTTCCGAGACAAATTGCCCTGGGACCCTCTGACAGTCACAAAGTTAAACTCTCTGTAGCATTTGAGTGAAACAGTGAACTATGTGTGTGTGTGTGTGTGTGTGTGTGTGTGTGTGTGTGTGTGTGTGTGTGTGTGTGTGTGTGTGTGTCCCTTCCTCCCTTCCCTATCGTCCAATTCCTTCACCATCACCCCAAAATTATTCCTTCTTCTTCATATTCTCTCTTTATCTCATTCTTTCCCTCTCTCCTGAAGATAGCGAGGTACAACTGACGGTGTCGGGGGCCAGGTGCATCTTCCCCTTCAGGTATGATGGGAAGGAATACTCCTCCTGCACCAGCGACGACTCCTTCAAGAGATGGTGTGCTACAGCTGTCAACGCTTCTCTCTACCGCACCGTCTGGGACTTCTGCCTCGACTCAGGTCTACCTCAAGGTGGGATACTGGTTCCTGTGGTTGGTGGTGGGGGAAGTGGGGGTAGTGGTGGTGTGGTTGATGGTGGGGGGAAGTGGGGGTAGTGGTGGTGTGGTTGGTGGTGGGGGGGGAAGTGGGGGTAGTAGTGGTGTGGTTTGTGGTGGGGGGAAGTGGGGGTAGTGGCGGTGTGGTTGGTGGTAGGGATGGAGTGTTGTTGATAGTAATGGTGTTGGGGGGATATTGTTGGTGGTGATGGTGGGGGTATTGGTGATAGTGAGGGGTGATAACAGTGGTGATAGTGATGATGGTGTACTCATATCAATACCATGTTTGTCATCTTTCTATGCAAAATCATTAATATGTTACTCCTTTAATAATGTTTACATCAAGTAGTCTCGATTTTTTCTCTTCTCTTTTATTGAATCTTCTCCTCTGGCCATAGATTCAGGAGACGACGTCGGTACCCAGCTGCTTGCCCCAAGTCCCATGGCACCACCACCTCTCAGGACAGTGCCAGAGCCTATGGAAGTGACAAGACTGCTAGGGTCTGTGGAAGAGTCTGGAGAGGTGTCAGGATCTATGAGAGTGTTAGGGCCTTTGGGAGGGCTAATGGGAGTGCCAAAAGGAAAGATAGAAGCCATAGAGCCAGAACCAATGGAAGAACCCATGTTAGTGCCAGAACCAATGGAAGAAGCTATGATAGTGCTAGAACCAATAGACGAATTCATGGTAGTGCCAGTGCCAGTAGGAGAGGGTCAGCAGTACTTTGAAGAGGAACCCGGGGAGGTGTTCGGAGACTTGGAATATGGTGAAGACGCGCGCCAAGAAGGAGGTGAGGAAGGAAGGAGTGATGTTTGATATTTTTAATCTAATTTTCTCTTATGTCTTGTTTATTTTTCTTAAATTTTTGGTGTTAGGTGTTTAATATATTGTTGGATATACATGTCTGTCTATTTGTCTGTCGTGTCCGTGTTTGTACGTGTCAATGTGTCTGTTAAATGCTGTCATGTCTGTACGTGTTTGTCTGTGGGTCTGTTACCAAGGCCTTACAAAACCCAGAACAAGGGAGTCAATTTCTCATTTTTATTTCCCCTTGGTTGTTGACAAAGTAAATACAATATCTGTTTTTTACTAAACCAATTTTTATAACTACATAGCGATATTTCTTTTGTCTAGGAGCGAATTTTTTAAAACCACCCCAGTGATTTTTTTTTTACCTATTTTGGAGTCAATGATTTTTATCTGCAAGATATTTTTGGAGGTGTAAAACTACCCAGGTATTTTAATATTAATTTAAACCCAATTTTCAAAACAATGCAGATTTAAAATTCCTGGGTTATATAAATATTTAATGCATTTTTATATTTTGTTGTGTAATTTTATTGTTAGTATAAGACCAGGTGACCAAAAATTACTTAAGGGGAATAGGTTGATTACTGGCAGGTGTTAAAGGAACTCTCATTAAGCTACACCTGTGCTTAATTAAGGTGTTAGATGCTGGTGGTAATTAATATGTGTCACTTTAGTGTTACCTGTGTGTTGTTATTGTTGATGTTGTTATTGGTATTACTATTATTATTATTGTTATTATTCCACCCAGTAGATGGAGAGGAAGATGTGATAACGACGGTGGATGGAAGGACCTGTGTTTTCCCCTTCATATGGCGAGGTCGGAGGTACACTGAATGCACATGTGTTGACTCTAAGAGGGAATGGTGTGCTACTGGTGTTGATATCCACGCTAGGCCCACTGCTACTGGCTTCTGCTACCCTGAGGCTGGTATGTGCCTGTCTGTCTGTCTGTCTGTCTGTCTGTCTGTCTGTAATAAAAAAAAACATAAAAAAACAGACCAATAAATATACCAAACCAAAATACAAGCGAAAGAGAAAGACAGAGATAAAATGATAAATATAGGCAAAAAGCAGACCCAAATTAATTAGTCGTATTATTAAAAAAAGGAATGAATAAAAAGTGAAAACCCCCCAGATTACGTCAATTAAGAAACCATGCGTTGGGAAGTCGAGTAATTAAGATGTAGATTAGGCCAGCGACAGAGTAATTAAAACTGGGATAATTAGGAGGTAAATTAATCAAGAGATAAGCAGGAATCGATAAACGTGAGAGAGAGATGGAGGGGGAGAGAAGAGGAGAGCGAGAGAGAGAGAGAGAATTAAAAGTGTAGTCTTAAATATTTTCTGTGTCTGTCTGTGTAAGTGTATGTATGTGTGTATGTCAGTGTATCTTGATGTTAGTGTGTCTTTCTGTCTGCCTGTCTGTTTGATAATGTTGTTTACTAAATTATTTTTTTTAATTATTATTTATTGGGCACCCTCCTACGTCCTTGTGTAGGGTGAAGCGAAGAAGCGTTTGCAGCGCCCAACAGGGAAGCATGCTAAGTTCATGCTTGCCTTTATGTCTCATGAGTCAAGGGCGTAGAAGCCTGAAGAGTCAATGGTTTATGTCTAAGCAAGTTATTGGAAGCTCCAACAACTTGTCCCTGAATACGAATTCGCAACTTTCGATTTACAGCAGGTACCTACTGTGCTGCTAGGTGAACAGGGACCAAGGGAGGCTGGGAAGTGTGTCCGAACAACTTTCCACCGGCCCGGGAATCGTACCCTTGACATCTCGCTTGCGAGGCAAGAGCGGTACCGTTCTACCAACCGGCGCCCCAGTTTTAATTTGTTTAGTAATGTTGTTTACTTAAGTTGTTTGATAATGTTGTTTACTTAAGTTCTTTAATAATGTTGTTTACTTGAGTTGTTTAATAAGCGTCTAATTACCTGCTCTTTCAGGTGAAGACTATGGTCGTCCATCCCCAGGTGTGAAATCATATAACTCAAGTAAGTACTCTACCTGTCGGGTAACCTAACCTAATCCAATGTAACTTGACCAGAGAGAGAGAGAGAGAGAGCCATAAATGCATATATAATATTAGAATTCAGAATACTACTCTTGCCAATTACACTAAAATAATCAAATCAATGTGAACGCGGCCGAGCACAATTTTCTGTTAGATAAAGGTGTTCAATTTTGTGTGGTGGTCTGTCCTGGTCTGTTTGTTTTGCCGGTCTAGTTTATCTTCCTCTCTCTCTATTGTTGTTCTTTTATTATTATTATTATTATTATTATTATTATTATTATTATTATTATTATTATTATTTCAGTGAAAGGACATCCAGCCATTCAGGGACATCCAGGCATCGCAGGGCATCCGGGTATGGCGGGACATCCTGCCGTAAAAGGACATCCTACAGTAATAGGACACCCAGCCATCTCAGGACATGGAACTGTTGAAGGACATCCGGGTGTCTCCGGACATCAAGATATTCGTGGACATCCCGGGATTGAAGGACATCCACGTTTTGAAGGACATCTAGGTGTTCAGGCTCATGGAACTATCCCTGGACATGCTGCTGTTTCTGGACATCGCGGGGTGGAAGGTCACTCCGGTGTTGTTGGACATCCGGCTGTCCCAGGACATGGTGCTATTCCAGAACATGCAGGTGTCCAGGGACACCAAGGAGTCGAAGGTCACCCGGACATATCCGGACACCAGGCTATTGAAGGACACCCGTCGGTTCAAGGTCATGTTGCAATTTTGGGACATCCAGCAGTAGTAGGACATCCAGCGGTAGTGGGACATCCAATTGTTGAAGGACATCCAGCCGTACGAGGACATCCTGGAATTACTGGTCACTCAGCCGTTCAGGGACATCCGGGCTCACAGGGACATCCTAGCCTACAGGGACACCCAGGGGTCGAGGGACATCAAGCTGCGCCTGGACATATGGGAGTAACAGGTCATTCTGCTGTTAAAGGACACCTGACCATCCTAGGACATGCGGCAGCTGTAGGACATCCATCAGCTATTGGTCATGAGGAGGTGCACGAGCACACATCTCTAAGTGGACATCCTGGCATACCTGCACATCCAGGTGTACAAGGTCACGCCTCCGTAGAAGGACATCCAAGTGCTCAGGGACACGCCACCGTCGAGGGACATCCAGCCGTACCGAAACACCCCGCTGTCCAGGGTCACGGGGAGGTCATAGGACATCAATTCATTTCAGGGCACCCAAGGATAGAAGGTCACTCATCAGTAATTGGACACCCAAAGGTTTTCGGGCATCCTGAAGTTAAGCAGCATCCCAAAGTTTTAGGACATCCTGCGGTAAGTGGACACTCAAGAGTGGAGGGCCATCCCGAGATACAAGGTCACCCCAGTGTATCAGGACACCCTGGATATTCTGGACATCCTAGCGTGCAAGGACACCGGAAAATCCAAGGACATCTACAGATCTCAGGACACCCCGGTATACAAGGACATCCAGGAATTGAGGGACATCCCGAGGTACCTAAACACATGAGTGTAACAGGACACCCAAGAATTATAGGACATCCTGCCATTGAAGGACACCCAGACATCAGTGGTCATCCTAGAGTGCAGGGACACCCCTATATACAAGGACATCCGGACATCCAAGGGCACCAACTCATCCAGGGACATATAGGAATCAAAGGACATCCAGCCGTGGTAGGACATCCGGACATCTACCCTGTGAAAATAAAAAGTAAGTTATTATATATATTAAACAGGTGTACCAAATTACCTGATTATTCACTCCCTCATAATTATTCACTCCCTCATAATTACAATATTCATTTCCCTCATTATTAATAATTTTCCTCATTCATTTTCTTTCATTCAACTTGTAAATTATTAAAACATTATTTTCTTTAATTCAAATTTGTTATTACACACACACACACACACACACGCACACGCACACACACACGCACACACACGCACACACACACACACACACGCACACACACACAAACATATGTACAGTGTGTGTGTGTGTGTGTGTGTGTGTTTTGGTATAGATGATGATGAAGATGATGATAACAAGAATAATAATAATAACTACAACAACAACAACAACTACAAACAATTAATAACAACAACAAACAATAACAACAACACCTCACCTGGCCAAACATTAAAGAGGTGAGTTGCCCCAACAACAACAACAACAACAACAACATAAACAACAACTTACTCAGGTAACTATAACGTTAAACTTGACAATTAAACTAAACTAGGACAGGTTGGAGGTGGGTTTCATTAACCTGAGAGAGAGAGAGAGAGAGAGAGAGAGAGAGAGAGAGAGAGAGAGAGAGAGAGAGAGAGCTGCCTACCTACCTCCCTCAAAGAATCCTAATTACACCATAAGTTTCTTCAATAACAACGTAATCAACTTTTCGTCTCCTCCAGCACTACTCACCTGTATTGATTACCACTACCTTTAAATCTTTAATTACCTACGAGCTACCTGGGTCATGTTGGTAGAAGCTGCAGGTGTAGGATTAAGCTTGAGGTAATACAATTAATCAAGCTTGTGTATAGAGAAGCTTGTGGTAGAGGGGAGGGTGTGTGGATGAGCATGGATGAGAGAGTGGATGAGCATGGATGAATGTGTGTTGGTGTATTCCATAGATTAATTATATTTAACTTAATGTAATCTGATGTGATTATTTGTTTGATTGACCTCATGACCTTTCTTGACCTGACCTGACCTGACTTGACCTTATTTCTCCACAGTTGCTGAGTCTTGTCCTATGAGTTCTTCCTACCTTCTGTACCAAGGTAAGTGTGTGTGTGTGTGTGTGTGTGTGTGTGTGTGTGTGTGTGTGTGTGTGTGTGTGTGTGTGTGTGTGTGTTCAGTAATGGCCTCACTAATTATGTATAAACTCTCATGTTTGTGTATGTACTGTGTTCCTGTCTCTCGTGTTTGTTGTTTGTTTATGTACGTCTAAACTCCTCCTTCTGTGTGTGTGTGTGTGTGTGTGTGTGTGTGTGTGTGTGTGTGTGTGTGTGTGTGTGTGTGTGTGTGTCATGTCATCACACATTTTTTCCTATATGTATATTTACCTTAAATTTTGTGATATAATATACAAATACACCTCACCGCCCCTCATCGCCCCGCCCCTCATCGCCCCCCCCTGCCCCCACGCCCCCTCATCGCCCCGCCCCTCATCTCCCCCCGCCCTCATCGCCCCCCGCCCTCATCGCCCCCGCCCCCTCATCGCCCCCGCCCGCCCCCTCATCGCCCCCCCGCCCTCTCATCGCCCCCCGCCCCTCATCGCCCCCCCGCCCCTCATCGCCCCCCGCCCTCTCATCGCCACCCCGCCCCCTCATCGCCCCCCCGCCCCTCATCGCTTCCCCGCCCCCCCATCGCCCCCGCCTCTCTCATCGCCCCCCCCGCCCTCCTCATCGCCCCCCCGCCCCCTCATCGCCCCCCCGCCTCTCATCGCCCCCCCGCCCTCTCATCGGCCCCCACACCCCCTCGTGTGGAATTGTAAACCATCATTATAAATATTCCTGAAATAACTTGCTTTAAACCTTACTACTGATCTATTTTTATTCAGATATAATTATAATATATTTTCACCCAAAGAATGTTAATGATTTGTAAACACGTCATTAAGGTCATTTTGTTGAAAAGTAGTATGGCATTATGTTGCTTCCTGCATTGGCAACCATTAATAGTGAAGTGCAGTGGTTGTCAAGTATTTTAGTAATATTTATTGGTGTGTGTGTGTGTGTGTGTGTGTGTAATAATAATAATAATAATAATAATAATAATAATAATAATAATTAACGGTTTATTGAAAGAGCATGGCAGCCGGAAGGCTGAAAATATACATTTACATAATTGGGGAATGGGTCACTTGATTAACAAATAATATACAAGTAACATAAGTGATACAAATATGATATATAATAACTAAGTGGGGAGAAGGTCATACTACAGGGCATTTCAACATAGTGACAGTGCAAAAAGGTAAGATTGACTGGGAGTGAATACACTGGTTGATTACAAGTTATTGATAATTTTTACAATGGTTGTGACTGGGCTGTTCTTATAGTGATCAGTTTGTGCTCGCATGGGCTGGATGCGGTAGTGGTGTTGAACAGCAATTCTCGGGCGAGGGATCTCAGGTGGTAGTAGGAGCAGATGTCGAGGATGGTGCAGAAGTTTCTCACCAAATTTGCAGATGAGGTCGTGGTGATGGTCAGTGAGAGCCGAGAGGGTCAGTGTGTTGAGCTCTTCTTGATATGTGGAGTAGGAAGGGGAGAGAATAATCTTGCATTCCCTCTTTTTCACTTTTTCTAGGTGTTTACGTTGTGTGGCATTTAGGGAGGAAGACCAGGTAGGGGAGGCACAGGTGAGCTTGGGAAGTATGAATGTTGAGTAGACACTGAGGAGCTCGGGTGCAGGAACTCCGAGGGACTTGAGTCGGCGGAGGAGGTGGAGACGGAAACTGGAGGATTTGACAACTTTACTGACGTGTGGTTTCCAATTTAGTTTGTTGTCTATGGTGACGCAGAGGAGCTTAGTGGAATCTACAACCTGGAGTGTGTTGGGACCTAAAGTAATGGAAGGAGGTAGGACAAGGTCGGAGAAGAGATTGGTGTGCATAACCATGGTCTTGGTATGGTTGATGGTGACGTGGTTGTTGGTGGCTCAGGTTTGGAGACTGTTCAATAAATCCTGAAGGGCGGTATAGTCGGGAGCAGAATTGTTGACGCTGATACCAATGGTGGAGTCGTCGACATATTTCCAGCGAGCAGAGGTTTCTCTTAGGGCATCATTGATAAGCATAAGGAAGCATAGTGGTCCCATCTTGGTGCCTTGGGGGACGCCACAGGTGAGTGACTGAAAGGTGGAGACAGCCCCTCGGAAGCGTACAACTTGGCGTCGGTTACTGAGGAAGTCTGTAAGCCATATGTTTGTGTGTGTGTGTGTGTGTGTGTGTGTGTGTGTGTTTATAGTGCATACAGGAGCATTTAATAATCCCACACACCAGTCATGCGCCCTTCATCAATCCCTAATCGAAAATCCTTAATCCCTCCAATACAGACACCTAATAATCCCTCCAAGTCATAAATCCCCCATTAAAATCCCCTATCACAAACACCTAATGATCCCTCACCTATGATAAACTCTACTAATCCCCCCAATAACAAGTTCCTAATCTCTCGTAATCCCTCACTTATGTTAATCCTCACCGTAAATCCCCTATAATCCCAGGTTCATGTCGGATAATCATGACGTCCAGTGGGAGGAGGTGTGCCCTGCCTTACCTGTACGAGGGGCTCTGGTACCACGAGTGTGCGGTCTTTAACCCAGGTAGTGCCCCCGTGTGCCCCATTCACCTGACCGCTGCGGGAACACCTGTCGCCTGGGATACCTGCCCCCCTGGATGGTGTAAGTCTCGTGGTGTTTGGTTTAGCAGGTGTTTGGCTTATAACAGGTGTATGGTTTAACAGGTGTATGGTTTAACAGGTGTGTGATTTGTAAAAGTGTATGGTTTAGCAGGTGTTTGGTTTTGGTAATCTTTCCCTCCCCCCTTCATCTCTTCCTCCCTCTCCTCCTTCCTCCCTCCATTCCCCTCCCTCCATTCCCCTCCCTTCCTTCACCCCACCTTCCTCCCCTTCTCCTCTCCCTCACCTCCTCCTCCCCATACCCTTTCTTTCCCGCCTTCCTACCTCATATATACCACTTCCCCCCCCTCTCTCTCTCTACCCCTCCCTCTCTCTCTACCCCCTCCCTCTCTCTCTACCCCCTCCCTCTCTCTCTACCCCCTCCCTCTCTCTCTACCTCCTGTTTCGGGTGAAATTAAGACCAAACCCTACCCTCTTCTTGGGAATTTACACACAAGAATTTAATTCCCACAAGTCATCGTACTGAAGGGGCTAAATTCTCTCCAACCGGGAGTCTTAATCTTCCGTGTTGTCTCAAGAATTAATTGGAGTTTCACATAAATTTTCTCATGAAGAATTTTATCTTGGGAATAGTGTCGCCGAGGAAGGAATTTTAATTAAAGTGCTGCTGGCATTTTTTTTTGTGTTTTTAATCTTCAGTTCAAACTCCCTTTTTAGGATAGTTTTTATCATATGTGTAAAATATTAATTCTCGCAGGAAGGAAATAAATGGGATGAGGATTAATAAATTCTGATGTGGTTTGGAATTTGGAGTTAATTCATCGACAGAGAGAGAGAGAGAGAGAGAGAGAGAGAGAGAGAGAGAGAGAGAGAGAGATATACACTAACACCATGGTCTCTTCCTCCTCAGATCTTCGCTACACAAGGCCTGTCGGTTCCCCAAGCCCGAGTGAGTAGTAATGACTGCATCTCTTAACTGTGGTAATGACTAGTTATAAGTGTGACTGTAATTTTATTTAATAGACTGTCATTAAACTCTACATTAAGCTTCATAAATTTTCGTAAACATTGAACCCAACCCAACCATAACCTAACACAACCTAACACAACCAAACCTAACCTAACCAAACCTAACCTAACCTAACCAAACCTAACCCAATCTCCCCCCCCCCTCGTGACCTCCTTAGAGCATCAATAAACACAGGTATTGACCCACACACCTCATCTCATTACAGCGGACGTGCTAAGCCTTCAGGAGCCTCTACCTCCACACCTGGCCCGCCTTAATGAACTGCCAGGTGAGGTGCTCCATGTACAGGTGTGTTGTGTGGAAGTGTAAACAACTCTTTAATTAACTGCCAGGTGAAGTGAGCTTTGTTTGCATATGTGTGTGTGTGTGTGTATGGGCTTGTGTGTGTGTGTGTGTGTGTGTGTGTGTATGGGGTTTGTGTGTGTGTGTGTGTGTGTGTGTGTGTGTCTGTGTGTGTGTGTCTGTGTGTGTGTGTGTGTGTGTGTGTGTGTAAGGGTGTGGAGTGCACAGGTCTTTAATTAACTACCAGGTGAGTCGTAGTTAACCTCCAGGTACACGGTTATTGTACACAGGTGACCAAGGTTCTCCCATTACCTGTGTATTGTGAGGTAAAACCACTAAAGATTACTCTCCCAGGTGTGGTGTTGTGGACAGGTGAACTTGATGGTCCAAGTAAGAGTTTAATTTTCTCTCTCTCCTTTTCTCATTCTTCTTACTCTCCTTTTGTCTGTCTCTCTTTATTTCTTTCACACACACACACACACACACACACACACACACACACACTCACTCTCTCTCTCTCTCACTGAAAATTAAAAATCACACCACCGTTCTGAAACAACGCAGGAAAATGCATTAGTATGTTGGTGAAGGAGCGTTGATGTTCATACACCTGTCCCTCCTAGTAGGAGCTTACACCAAACTCAATTCCTACGGGAAAAGTATTCTGTAACAGTTTATATTAGATGAGATTAAGTTATGTCGACTTACAGCAGTTGGTGAGCAACACACACAAACTCTACCCTCACACATCACCCAAACTCTCTTCCACACGTGGCACTTCCCTGCCCAACCCAACCCCCCCCCACCCCTGCCCCCCCACACACGCAAACCCTCCTTCTCCCACATGACACCTTCACACACACAACATCCCCCTACACAAATACATCCCCACACAACACCTCCTCCCCACAACACCTCCCTCACACAACACTCCCCCACACACCACCCCCACACACAACACTCCTCCACACACAACAGCCCTCCACATAACACTTCCCCACACACAACACTTCCCCCCCACACACCCCCCACACCCCCCACCACCCTTGAAGATAAAATGGTGTCCACTTTCCCAAGGAGCGAGGCTTATGGTCTGCCACTTTTTGGTAAACGAGTAGAAAAAGTTTGTTGGAGATAATTTACTGAATAACTCTTGTCACATCTGGCAAGTGAAGATGCGGCCTAGTGTGTGTGTGTGTGTGTGTGTGTGTGTGTGTGTGTGTGCAAGATTACGACATGCATAATAGTGAGTTGTGAAATTTTCTGCTTCCTCTCCCTCCTCTCTTTTGTTTCTCCTCTCTTCTTCCTCCCTTCCTTCCTTCCTCCTCCTCCTCCCTTTCTTTCTCTTCCTGCCCCAGACTGAAGGCTATTAACCTGAGAGAGAGAGAGAGAGAGAGAGAGAGAGAGAGAGAGAGAGACACACACACTCTCTTGCTAAAACTAAGAGGCTGAACTGAACTACATTTTTCCCTTGAAGTGGAGATTAGAGACAGAGGGAGAATGTTGGTTAGCCCACTGCATAAAATATTCAACCTGATATATATGTGTATTTTTTTAGGAGGTGGGGGGGGTCTCATTATGTACCAGGGGCCAGGGAAAGGTTGGTTGACTTAACATTAAACATTGCCAAGTTCAAGGATCTTATGCTGATAAAACTCTTTTATAATGTTGCTGGTCCATTTACTTAACTTGGAGGTGATAGCTGAAGGTGGATGTTTTATTTTTGGGTGGGGTAACACACAAAGTACTTTCTAATTACTTGAGAGAGAGAGGTGTGTGTGTGTGTGTAAGATGACTTTCCTATTTAAACTCGTGAGTGTACTTTCTTTATCTTAGATAAGCAGGAGGCTAATTTTACTTTCTGTCTGAAACACTTCAGAGGTCGGGGTACTTTCCTTCCTCTGACATCGGTTTTGGGATGAGAACTTATTTATCTGAATAAACTCAAATTATGGCCTTTTATTAATTATCTAATTATTTTTGTTACATTTTCTTGTCCCTAATCTAACCACACCTGGAATCCAATCTCACCACTGCACCTCACACCTCACCTACTGCACCTCACCACCTTATTGCACTCCCACCACCTCACCCAACTCAACATAAAATAAAACCTAACTCTGATCTCTGCTACACCTCACCTGCCCAGTAAACACATCTAATTTCATTAGGCACCCGAGGGCAATGAATCGTTAATTAGCACGTTCCACCTGACAGATATGTATAATTAGTAGGCTTCGGTGTAACAAAGAGTTAATTAATCTTCAACTTTGTATACCTGCTTCTATAAATGAAAGCATATTGAAGTGAACGTATATTATATACGTCTTTTATGTACAGTATATATAGTGTGTGGAGGGATGGAAGGAGGTAGAGAGGAGGAGTGAGGAGAGCAAGAGGGAGGAGGATGAGGAGTGAGGAGAAGGAGGTAGGGGAAAGAGGGTGGGAGAGCAAGAGGTAGGGAGAGGAGGAGGGAGGTAGAGCAAAGAGGTAGGGAGAGGAGGAGGGAGGAGAGCAAGAGGGGAGGAGAGGCAGAGGAGGGAGAGGAGGAGGAGGGAGAGCAAGAGGAGAGAGGAGGAGGGAGGGAGAGCAAGAGGAGGAGAGAGGAGGGAGGAGATGAGGAGGAGGGAGAGCAAGAGGAGGGGGGAGTAAGAGGTAGGGAGAGGAGGAGGAGTGAGGGAGAGCAAGAGGGAGGGAGAGCAAGAGGAGAAAGAGGTAGGGAGAGGAGGAGGGAGGTACGGAGAGCAAGAGGTAGGGAGAGGAGGAGGAGTGAGGGAGAGCAAGAGGGAGGGAGAGCAAGAGGTAGGGAGAGAAAGAGGGAGGGAGAGAGAGGTGGGGATGGGAGGTGATAGAGGGCGGAGGGAGAAAGTTAAGAGGGAATTTCACATCTAGAGTAACACTTTAGTCACCTTGGCACCGAGCACTTGGACCAACATTACCAAATACAATGTGGCACTAGTGACGTCATGACAGTGCCTGGATGTGTGACGATATACGACATTTGTTTGGTAATTTACTATGGATTGGTCTTCCAGTGCCAGTAAGATTGACTCGTAGTGCCAACGATGTAATACTATGTTCATCCTTGACATTTATTAGGAGTGCCAACGTGTAGTGGGCACCAGAGCCTCCCGCTGGCACTAGTGATGATATTCAATACCAAAAGTGCATTAAGCCCTTGACATACGAGCTTTACAACGAGTGCCAGTGACAACCGGTAACCTCCAGTGATACGACCAATGACATACAGTGCCAAGAGTGCATTAAATCGTCGACATCTGACCTTTAGAGGGAGTACTGGCTGACTCCCACGCTATGAGAGCCATGTAGTGAGTGCCTGAGTGTTCCACCATGTTTACTTTTGACCTTTACAGGGAGTGCCACCCGTGTAGTGACGACCAGAGGCGACCAGTGCCACTTCCCCTTCACCTACAAGGGTGAGAGGTTCTCCGGGTGTACGGACAAGGACCATGACCGTCCGTGGTGCATCACCCAGCAGACGGGAGACTCGTATCAGTGGGACAACTGTCATGCTATCTACATCTGTGAGTTACACCTGTCTCTTATTTTAACACCTGTGTGTGTCTCTCTCTCTCTTAACACCTGTGAGTCTCATTTAACACCTGTGTCTCTCTCAACATCTGTCTTCCTGTCACAAAACTTTAGAAAATCTCATGCAAATTAGATCGAATCATCAGGTGTTTATTTTTATTATATATAAATTCCCAAGACGAAAATCAATGAAAAATTCCCCAAAGATTAAAAAATAAAAACAAACCGATGATTAACGAAATAAAACGAAAATAAATGACAACACTATGATAAGATTAATAGAAAACATCACATAATCACCACATTGCGTAGTTTTTCGTTCAGGGAGGAAAGGGTTGAACACACCTGGAAGAACCGGGCCATTGTTATTGTATTCAGGTGAAGCCTTTAGTGGGGCGACTAATGTGAGAGACGCGGCTTGTTGATCCTGGTCCCTAAATGAAGCCCGCACACACACACACACACACACACGCACACACACGCGGTCAAACACATACACACACACACACACACACACGCGGTCAAACACATACACACACAAATACACACGGTCAAACACATACACGCACACACACACACATGCACACACACACACACACACACACACGCGGGTCAAACACATACACGCCAATGCACACACACACACACACACACACACACACACACACACACACACACACACGCACAGCACACACACCCCCATTGACTTACCAATGAAACTATTCAAGGAGTTCTCCCCGGAGCTTGCTAAACCCCTCTGCTCCATCATCAATGCTTCTCTCAGTCAAGCCAGATGCCCAGCTGACTGGAAGACCTCTTATGTATCACCAGTGCCCAAGTCAACCAGCCCACAATCCTTAAATCAGCTACGACCTATTGCACTCACCCCAATACCCAGCCTCCAATTCAGAAAAGTTTTGTGTTGACTGGGCGCTTATGCTGATATTGCAGGAGTCGTAGACCTCAGCACTTAAGGTAACATGAAAAATTTCCACCACCCCTGTCTTGTCAGCTTTCTCGATTACATATACCGCCATCTCGAGAAACGAAAAACGTCTGTAGCTGTCGCCTTCATTGATTTCACTAAAGCGTTCGACCTAGTCGACCACAATATAATCATAAACAAAGCTATTGACCTCGGGCTTCGGAGAAGTCTCATACTATGGCTTACAGACTTCCTCAGTGACCGACGCCAAGCTGTACGCTTCCGAGGAGCTGTCTCCACCTTTCAGTCACTCACCTGTGGCGTCCCCCAAGGCACCAAGATGGGACCACTCTGCTTCCTTATGCTCATCAATGATGCCCTAAGAGAAACCCCTGCTCGCTGGAAATATGTCGACGACTCCACCATTGGGATCAGCGTCAACAATTCTGCTCTCAACTATACCGCCCTTCAGGATTTATTGAACATTCTCCAAAACTGGGCCACCAACAACCATGTCACCATCAACCATACCAAGACCATGGTTATGCACATCAACCTCTCCTCCGACATTGTCCCACCTCCTTCCATTACCCTAGGTCCGAACACACCAGGTTGTAGATTCCACGAAGCCCTCGGCGTCACCCATAGACAACAACTAAATTAAAAACCACACGTCAGTGAAGGTTGTCAAATCTAGTTTCCGTCTCCACCTCCTCCGCCGACTCAAGTCCCCGGAGTTCCCAGGCACCTGAGCCTCAGTGTTTGCATAATAAACATTCATACTCCCAAGCTCACCGGCGCTTCCCACCTGGTCTCCCTAAATGCCATACAAACGTAAACACCTAGAAAAAAAGAGGGACAAGATTATTCTCCTTCCTACTCCACATATCAAGAAGCGTCAACAAGACTGACCCTTTGACTCTCACTGACCATCACCACGACCATCTGCAAATTTGGTAAGAAGCTTCTGCACCATCCTCGACACCGGCTCCTACTACCACCTGAGATCCCTAGCCCGAGAATTGCTGTTCGACACCACAACCGCATCCAGCCCATACGTGCACGAACTGATCGCTATAAGAACAGCCCAGTCCAACCATTGTAAAAATTATCAATAACTTGTAATAAACCAGTGTATTCACTCCCAGTAAATACTACTTCTTGCACTGTCACTATGTTGAAATGAACTGTAGTTTGAGCTTTTCCTCATCTAGTTATTATATATGTCTTATTTGTGCCACTTATAAATACTTGTATATTATTTGTAATTCAACCCATTCCCCAAATATGTAACTGTATATTTTCAGCCTTCTGGCTGTATAAGCTCTTTCAATAAACCGTTAATTATTATTATTATTATTATTATTTACACACACACACACACACGCACACACACGCGGTCAAACACATACACACACACACACACACACACGCGGTCAAACACATACACACACAAATACACACGGTCAAACACATACACGCACACACATATCACTATATAATTTAATAATACTCGAAAGAAAGAAATAAGGAAGGAAGGAAGGAAGGAAGGAAGGAAGTAAGGAAGGAAGGAGCAAGAGAGAAGAAATAGAGAATGAAAGTATGAAGTAAGAACAAAAAACGAAGAAGAATAACAGTAGAGAGAAAAAGAAAGAAAGAAAGAAAGAAAGAAAGAAAGAAAGAGGACGAAGAAAGACGAAGAAAAGAACTGAAGAGCCTGGAGCAATTTCTTAAGAGGCGGCGAAGAAGAGACTTATTTCCCTCCCGGCATTATGTCGATGAGAGAGAGAGAGAGAGAGAGAGAGAGAGAGAGAGATTAACATAAAAAAAAGAGAAAACAAAAATACATATACATACATACATAAAGGCTACAAGCAGATAAACCAAGACCCAACACACATACACTCCCCATTAAGAAATACTAAATCATCTTTTTTTTTCCCAGTTTTTCCCTCTCACTCAGAATATTCCCACCCACCACCACCACCCCCACCACCCACCACTGCCACCACCACCACCCCCAACCCCACCCCCCACTGGCTCACCACCACCACACTCCCACCTCCCCACCCCCACCCCCACCCCACCTCCACCACCACCACCACCACCACCCCCACCCAATTCCCACCCCAACCACCCACCACCACCACCACCACCAATTCCACCTGGGGACCGCCACCCCCACCACCCCACCACCCCACCACCACCACCACCACCACTGTTCACCACCACCACCACCACCCCCACCACTGCCACCCCTGGCACTGACCCCCACCAACTCCCCACCCACCACCCCACCACCACCACTCACCACCCCACCACCACCACCACCACACCACCATTCACCACCACACCCCCACCACCACCACCCTCCAATCTACACTAATTACCACCACCACTACTGTTTCACTACTGACACCACTACCCTCACCAATTACCACTCCACCACTCCCCACCACCACCACCACCACCACCTACAGAAGTGGTAGTAATATCTGTATGAGCACATATAGATGTGGGCAGAAATCAGTCAAAAACTGCACGATGGGTAGATAAACTGTCTCAAGTATATATATATTTTTAATCTAAATTTGACTAATGGATTTGAGGGGGGAGGAGAAGAGTCGTAGAAAATAGTTATTGATGTATAACGGGGGGGATTATTATACATATATTATTATTATTATTATTATTGTTATTATTATTATTATTATTATTATTATTATTATTATTATTATTCGTGATGGTTTTCTTTTATTTGAGTTTCTGAATATTATTTTTATTTTTATTTTATTGATCACTACTACTACCACCACCTCCACCACCTCCATCTTCTCCACCATCTCCTCCACCACCTCCATCTTCTCCACCATCTCCTCCACCACCTCCATCTTCTCCACCCCATCTCCTCCACCACGACCTCCATCTCCTCCACCACCTCTTCTACCTCCTCCTCCTCTTCCTTCGTTTTAACACAAATTTTCCACAACTTCACAAGATATTTTACACTCCACTAAGCGCTGAACACACGAAAGAAGGAGGAGGGGGGGAAGATGGAGGGGGGTAGGGTAGGGGGAGGAGGGGGGTAGGGGGAGGAGGAGGAGGAGGAGGAGGAGGAGGGGAGGAGAAGGAGGGAGGTGATAGTTTTATTCAAAGAGAAGCAGGAGAAGGCAAAGCAGAGGAGGAGCGAAGTGTGAGAGAGAGAGAGAGAGAGAGAGAGGAACAGGGAGAGGGAAGATAAGAGATACATTTCAACACAGTAGGGGAGGAAAAAGGAAGGGGAGAAGAGGAGGGAAGGGGAGATAAGTGAGGGTAAATTAAGTGAAGAGATAATGAATAATCCATAATGTTGATGTATTGTAAGAAGATGTGAGGGAGGGAGAGAGAGAGAGAGAGAGTGAGTGAGTTAGAGAGAGAGAGAGAGTGAGTTAGCAAACGACTAACTATGAATGAAAGAATGAAACAAATAGTTGAGAAAATTTTTTTTTTTCCCTCAATGACACTCTTAAAACTCTAAGGTTGACGAGGCCACCAAGAGACGGATGATGGTACTTGATGCTCTAACTAGGGGAAATTTCACTCAACTCTCCCGGAAAGATCGTCCTCTAAAGTGTCGTTGAAATATAGGGAAATAATTTTTTTTAATATATATTTTTTTTTCTGTGGGTGGGGGAGGGGGTTATATACACATGTAACTTGTATATAAAGTTTCTGAGTAATACTTTGTTTATTACCATTAGATTACATGTAGTTTAAGTATATTTGTGACATTTTTTTTAAGGATTTCGTAAATATTTTAGAATATTTTATATGTTTTGGGATATTTGATATTTTATTTAATATTAATTTTTTTGGGAATATTTGATCAGTTCCAGAATATTCAAGAAATCCACCAGGAATAATATATCTTGGTGAATATTAATTATAGTTTGGTGTACATAATGTTTTCAAGGATTTAGTGTACGGAGTCTTATTACTCTCTATTTACGATTAGATGTTATCATTATATTGTTAATGTTATATAATGTTAATGTAGGCGCTATTATATACCCACACAACAAGACCAGCGCCAGCACGAGTGATCCTGTCCGCTTGGCGTATACTTCTTCACCCCTTAATGATGTACTTAAGAGAATTTCACCAGATTAATGTTCGCCTGCCTTTAACTGCGTGCTTTTTTATGGTAAGAGCTTAAGAACAGCTGCTCCAGATGTTGTTTACAAAGTGAATGCTGTCATCTGGTGGCGGGATTGAACACAAACACTGAAAAACGCGTCAAATGTTATTTAATTATAGCTGCCATTTATATAAGCTACAACACTCAATGTTTAAAATCCCGCCAAAGTATCTAAAAAAATGCTGACATTTAGTGGTGGGATTTAACACTAATAGTTGACAGACCGACTTAAAGGTACAACACTAATGGTGATAATCCCACTAAAATATGTCTTAGAAAAGCCCGCCTTATGTTGTTGACTAAGCGAGTGGTGCCATCTAGTTGTGGCACTTGGCATTACCTCATTAGAACAGAAAATATCCTCCCCCAATATAAACTTTAAACATAAAACAGTAAACCTGTCAAAGTACGTTTTACAAAAAGCGCGCGTAATGTTGTTTACTAAGCAAGTGTTGCCATCTCGTAGCGGCAATTGGAACTAACTCACAAGGACACAAATTATCCCGCTTAATACAAACTATAAACAGCATAACCATAAACCCGCCAAACTACATCTTAGAGGAAGCGAAGTAGTTGTTATTTACTAAGCAAGTGGGGCCATCTGGTAGCGGCACGAGGCCCTAGAGGACTGCTGGCTGGCTACACGAGACAGACAGCTGCCTAATGTGTGGTGACTCGGGAGTGAGTGTGTCACCAGTCTTCCCTATAGCCAGGACGTGACGCGCCTCTCCATCACTGTTGCTTCCTCCTTCGTCTGACGTCTGAGAGAGAGAGAGAGAGAGAGAGAGAGAGAGAGAGAGAGAGAGAGAGAGTTTATACGTATGTGTATGATAAGATATTGTTATTACAACTTACACTACTACTATTATTACCATTATTGTTGTTGTTTACTTTGTCTAAATCATTATGCATTTTTTCACCTACAGGTAAGAAATGTCTCACAGATGCCTACCTGACTTAACATACTAAGGAGATACCTGCAGGTAGGTCTTGTACAACCTATCTTCCTTCTTTTCCTTCCTCCTCCTTCCTTTTCTCTTCTCTTCCTTCCACCTTCCTCTTCTCCATCTTCCATTTTCCTTCCTCTCCTTCTCCTCCCCATGCCAACCTCATCCTACTCCTTCCTACCCACCTCCTCCATCCTCATCCTCTCCTCCTCCTCCCCTTCTTTACTCCCATTCTTTCTCCTCCCCCTCCTCCAACACCCCCTCTCTTCTCTCACACCTCCCCAGCATCCCTCCCTCACATCCTCACATCCTCCTCACACCTCACCTCCTCCCACCTCCCACACCTCCTCCCACCTCAGCACCCTCCCTTCCCCCTCACACCTCCCCTCCCTCCCCTCCCCTCCTCTCCCCACCCTGCCTCCCTTGTAGCTGGCTCGCCTCCACCATTCAGGAAGACGTTAGGTGGCGTCATCTGGCGGGGTTATTGCTTCACACAAAATCCAGTAGTCCTCCCCAAATTGTCGGCCCTACAAGGTTACGTAAGAATGAAAGAAGCAGAAGAGGCGAAAAGAAAGAAATTTGTGTAGATTATGTAAGAATGAAAGAAGTACTGGTGAAAAGAAAGAAAATTGTTATGTAAAAGACTGAAAGAATAAATATATACAGGAAATGAAAAGAAATTCTGTATTTATGTAAGAATGATTTTTTTTTTTTATATAAGGTAATAATTCCCTATCTTTTTTTTAATCTCTGTGTATGTCTCTCCTAAAAAAAAATCCACTTAATCTCATATATCTCTGTGTCTCCCACCTACAGGATAGTAAAGGAGAACCTCTGGCTGACGTGTGGTGACAAATTACCTGTCTCTGAGCATAAGGATCAAGAAGGATTAGCCAGTCTCTCAGGATGAAGAGGATTAGCCACTCAGCCAGGATAAGGCACAGTAGGCAGGCACTCTCTCGCTCTTCTCACACACATACTTCATCAAAGGTCTGAACTGCAAAGACGTAAAATATGAGTAAGGAGGGGGGAGTGGGTAAGGGTAGGTATAGTAATATAAGGCTATGTAGGTGGGATTGTGGGGTGTGGTAGTGAGTGTTGGCGTGAATGTGTGTGTGTAACCTGTGTGTGTGTGTGTGTGTAATAGTAGTAGTAGTTGTAATAAGTGTTGCCATGTAGTAGTGGATGGAGGTGTGTGTGTGTGGGTATGCGGGATGGGTATGGGTATATGTCTATGTGTAACACAGTAGTATACCATGAGTGTCATATCTCAATAACCAAATATATTGTAAACAAGCTCATTGTATTTTTTCTCTCTCCTTTAACAAAACGCCTCTTCGGCAAACCAATCATAGGTAGTAGGTAGTAGGCAGCTACCAAACAGGGAGGTACTACCGCCTGGGAAGATATTGGAAGCATTATGTGTTGTCTAATGGTAGACCCTGCTGCCATATGGCATCGCAAAAATTGTGACCAAGTACCAGGTTGCTGATCTGACTTTCTGCCTCATTTACACACAATTGCAGGGTCTCAATTGTTTCTCTTGCTATTGACAACACAACACAAAATACATACTGTATATCGTTTCTCACTAATGATCTTTTCTTTTAATGTATTTATGGTTCCATATTATTATTATTATATTATTATTATTATTATTATTATTATTATTATTAATAATAATAATAATAATAATAATAATAATAATAATAATAATAATACCTATTAGGTACTCCTGAATGTGCTGCTTAAGATCTGTTAACCAAAATTTGATATCTTGATTATAACTTGTTCAAATGGCTTTTAGAAAATGTTCAAATGATTTTTAGAATATTTTAATTACTTTTGCAATGTTAATTACTCGCCACTTATGGGTTTTCGAGGTCATTTCTTGGTGCTTGTGTATTATTCTGATGTACTTAAATAGTTAGGCACATTAAATTTTAGTTCAGAGAGAAAAAGTATTTTTGGATATCAGTATAGGTACTTAAATGTGCTCTTAAGATCTCTTACAACCAAATTTGATATCTGATTATAACTTGTTCAAATGGCTTTAGAAAAACGTTCAAATGATTTCTAGAATATTTTAAATACTTTTGCAACGCTAATTACTGCCACTTATGGGTTTTCGAGGTCATTTTTGTCATCAGTATTATTCTGATACCTAAATAGTTAGCAATAATAAATTTTAGTTCAGAGAGCAAAAGTATTTTGGCCAAAATCCTTTAATGCTATAGACTTACAATTTTCGTCATTTCAAAAAACAGATCTTGTCAAAATTTCAGCATAGGTACCTGAATGTGCTGCTTAAGGATTCAACAAAATTTATCGACAATCTCTGTTCAAATGGCTTAGAAAATGTTCAAATGATTTTTAGAATATCTAACCATTTTAAATGCTAATTACTCAGCCACTTTTTTGAGGCCATTTCAAGTTGTGTATTATTCTGGATGTACTTAAATATTAGGCACATATTCCTTAGTTCAGAGAAAAACGTATTTTTGGCCAAAAACATTTACAATAGACTTACAATTTTTCTTCATTTCACCAAAAATGGATTTTGTTCAAAATTTCAGTATAGGTACTCCTGAATTCGCTACATGATCTGTTAACCAAAATTGATATCTTGATTATAACTCAAAAATGGTTTTAGAAAAACAATCTAAAATGATTTTAGAATATTTTAATAACTTTTAATGCTAATTACTCGCCACTCTGCGGGTTTTCGAGGTCATTTCTGGTGCTTAAAATATTCTGATGACTTAAATAAAGCAAAAATATTTAATTTCAAAGAGAGAAACGTATTTTTAAATAAAAATCTTAAGGCTATAGACTTACAATTTTCTTTCATTTCGGCCAAAAATGGATTTTGTTCAAAACAGCATAGGCAATCCTGAATGTGCTGGAAGCCACAATCATGTAAACCAAAATTTGACATCTTATCATAAACAAATTAAAAGGCTTTAGAAATGTCAAATGATTTTTAGAATATTTTAATTACTTTTGCAAGCTAATTACCGCCACCATGGGTTTTCGAAAGTCATTTCTTCGAAAGCTGTGTATTATTCTGATGACTTAAATAGTTAGCATTAAATTTTAGTTCAGAGAGAAACGTATTTTAACAAAAACTTTTTAAGGCTATAGACACACTTTTCTTCATTTCGGCCAAAAATGGATTTTGTTCAAAATTTCAGGTACTCCTGAATGTGCTGCTTAAGATCTGTTAACCAAATTTGATATCTTGATTATAACTTTGTTAAAAATGGCTTTTAGAAAATGTTCAAATGATTTTTAGAATATTTTAATTACTTTTTGCAATGCTAATTACCTCGCCACTTTGGGCTTTCGAGGTCATTTCTTGCGCTTGTGTATTATTCTGATGTACATAAATAGTTATGCACATTTTACCGATCTTCAGAGAGAAAATTATTTACCAAAAACCTTTAATGCCATAGACTTCACAATTTTACTACATTTCGGCCAAAAATGGATTTGTCCAAAATTTCAGATAGGTATTCTGAATGTGCTGCTATGATCTGTTAACCAAAATTTGATATCTGATTATAACTTGTTCAAATGGCTTTTAGAAAATGTTCAAATGATTTTAGAATATTTTAATTATTTTGTACTAATTATCGCCAATATATGGGTTTTCGAGGTCATTTCCAAAATATTCTCGATGTACAGTGTCAATTAATTGAGAAAATGCTTTTTGGCCAAAATCATTTAAATAGATTTACAATTTATCATCTTTGCCAAAAAATGATTTTGTTAAAATTTCCAGATATAGGCACTCTGAAACAAATGTTAAGGATCTGTTAAACAAAAACAAAGATATCTTGATTATAACTTGTTCAAATTGCTTTTAGAAAAGTTCAAATGATTTAGAATATTTTAATTACTTTGTAATAATTACATCCGCCACTTATGGTTTTTAGAGTCATTTTTGGAAAGCTGTATTATTCTGATGTACTTAAATAGTTAGGCACATTAAATTTTAGTTCAGAAAAAACGTATTTTTGGCCAAAAACCTTTATGCTATAGACACAATTTTCATTTCCAAAAAATTGATTTTGTTCAAATTTCAGTATAGGTACCCTGAATGATGCTAAATGATCTACAACCAAAAATTGATATCTTGATTATAACTTGTTCAAATACTTTTAGAAAATGTTCAAATTATTTTTAAATACTAATACTTTTGCAATGCTAATTACTCGCCACTTTCGTGCCTTCGAAGCCATTTCAGTGCT